CCGGGGCCGCGTGAAGGCGACGGCGGAGGGGAGCGCCGGCGCCCATGGGGAACACGCTGACCTGTTGCGTGTCCCCCAGTGCCAGCCCTAAGCTGGGCGGGCGCAAGGGGCCGGCCGAGACCAACTATGAGTCTGAGACCTGCGAGGCGGCGGCCGGCGACGCGGTGGCGGTGGGGGGAGCGCCGGCGCCTGCGGCCGTGGAGACCTCGGAGTTGGATCTCGGCGCCGGCGAGGGCCACCACTTGCAGCACATCAGCGACCGGGAGATGCCCGAAGGTAAGAGGCGGCGGGCGCACCTCTGCCTCCGCCCCAGGGTCCCCAGAGAGGCTACCGCCACCTCGGGCTCCTTCCTGCCCCGAGCTGGGCACCGGGGGCAGCTTGCCTCGGCCTTGTCTCCTCCTTCCCCGCCGCGACCTGCGCGGTTTATGCCACCCATCCCTTCCCTAACGCGCAATTCTTGACCCGCTCTTCTGTCCCCATCTCAGTCTGGGACCTTTCCTGTTTGTAACTCCATACTTCTTCCTGTGGGACTTTATCAACACTTTTTTGGTTCCTTTTCTCAAGGAAAGTTCTGGTCCTCCAACTTGAGAGCATCCTCCGCGCCTCCCTCTCCTTACCTATCCAGATGGTACTAAGTGAACGAGCCCTTCTGCCCTCCCGATCAGATAGCTGATGCCGCAGCAGACAGACCCAACCGTTTGAAGATTTTAAAATTTAAGTTCAAATAGAGGTTGCCACAGCACTTTATATGGTGTTAAGTAGGCTCTTTTAAGTTGTCCCCTCAAGCTGTTTTATTTCTTCCGACTATACTTTGAGCACAGAAGGAAAGAAAAGGGGAGGGGACCTTAAAGTAACCGTGAAAGGTTTAAACGATGCTGTCAGGGATGCGGATCCCTGCCCCCTTCCATAAAAGAAAAGTTTACCCACAGAGTTCTGATTACTTTACAGTTCCCACTTTCAATTTTATCTCCAGCCCTACTCCAGGCACGTCACAGACCTCATTTATGTGGATTGCACTTGCAATCGGTCAAGTTTCAAACGAGACTCGACAGAGCTTAGGCTTTCGTGAGTGCTGGAAAGGTTTGCGACTTAAAGCGCCCGGCCCCGCGCTCTTGGAGGGTTTGTTGCTATGGCTCCCTCTTTTCCTCCCCCTCGCCTGCCGGTGGATCTCTGCTCAGCTGCTAAGAATGTTGAAGTAAAAGGAGGGCGGAGGCTTGGTTTTTACCCCTGGAATTTTGGAAAGATACCAATGGAGGTAAAAATAATTCTGGGTAAAGCCATTGTTCTTGAATGAAGACTAAGTTCATTTGGCTCTTCCAAATACAGAGGAAGCCTGTGCATGTTCTCCTTGCATTGCCGATGAAGAAATGGAGGTAGGGGATGATACATGACGCAGCTTCTGGCCAACTCCTAACTCAGAGCATGGAAATGATAGATATGCCAAATTTAGTTCTTAGGTAAAGACTGTTTTCAGAACGCATCTATATTTTACCTATAAAATAGGCCTATCTCTTAGACCTGACTGCTTAATTTCACTTAAGGTTTTCACAAAGTTCAGAGGCAACAGTTACCTCTTTGTCCCGTATCTGTGCATTTATTTTAATGGATAACAGTAAAAAAGTAGATGCAGTGAAATGGCCTGAATTTACCAGTTATGTCGGTGGGTTTGTTCTGATAATCATGAATTGAATCAGAGAATGCTTGGCACAGTGCAGCATTAGAAGAAGCCAGCAAGAGGGGAAGTAACTATAGGACGGGGATACTTAACCCAAAAAAATAGTGCGTGAGCCCAGAGTTTGTTGACGTTTACTAACACAACAGTTAAGTTTTCATTTCAGTTTGTCTTTTAAAATTAAACTTTTAGGGTTAGGGATGTAGCTCAGTGGTAGAGCACTTCCCTAGCATGCATAAAGGCCTGGATTGGATCCTGGAACTACAAGGAAAAAATAAAGTTTTTGACATTCAATAAAAATGCTGAGAAACCTCAATTTCAGTATGGGCTATTCCTAAATCTGCATAGAAACAGTGTCAGAAAACCAAATGTAAAGTATAGACACATTTGCTTTTTGTCTTTATTTCAATTTTCTTGGGAAACTGAGAAGTACCTACTTAGATATAAAACACATTAGCTGTTCTACAATAAATTGAATTTTGATTTCTTAGATAAAATTATACATAAAAGATACCCTGTTCTTCTCTTTCAGTAGCATTTCGGGTCATTTCAGAGATATTCCTGTGAACCAGACTTAAGATGCAATCAAAAGTATTTTCTACTACTTTGTTAACATTATTTCTAATATAACTGATGGTAATATTAATAACAAAATAAGATACCAAGGTCTCATTATCATTAATCCAATTTTATTGTTACCAGCTTCTCAGTGGATGTTTCAAAACTTTATATGCATATAAATACAGTATTCTGTTTAATTTGTAAACATGAGATCATGTTATATGTGCTGCTTTGTATCTTAATGAAATAATGGCACAGCCTCTAAAACAGTGCTTGATGTTTATAGGGTGTTTCAGAATGTCTTTCCATGTCACTGCCATATCTCATGCCTTTTCCTGACTGCTTGCTTAGTGTATAGTGTACCGTTGAGTGGTTGGGCTATCATTTATTTACCTGTCCCTTATAATTGGGCAGATTTCATAAAAAACAATATATAACTCCATTAAAGTTTGGTGTGTGGGACACACAGCATTTGATGACTAATTACACCTCCTTACTGTAGGATTCAGATGGTATATTTCGTCTTTAAGCTCATAGGGGGAATAATTTTGTAGTTAAGGTAATTAAATAGTAAATATTCTTAGGCCAAATTGAAGTTACCATTGGCTTTTCAACGGACATTAAAATTCCTCTTTTAGGCTTTCCTCTTAGACTGTCTTGTGTCTTTAATTCTGAATAGTTATCACTCTAAGAGTGCAGATGACGCTCATCTTGGGCGATAAATCAGGACCCAGCATTGGGAGAAACTGGAAGAAAAAACTACTTTTCAGTAACTAGAATGTGTCTGTTGCGCATCCTTGAGTGGCAGGCAGTGTTCCGGATACAGGACCAGCTGTGGCCTACAAAACAGTCCCCACCCTAACTCTTACCCTTCTATTTTAGAATAGCAGGGGTAGACATTATCTGAATAATAGAATTTCGGGTTTTGAGGTGATGGGAAGAAGCTAAAATCGGGAAATGACTGGGGAGGAAGAGTTTTCCATGAGGTTAGACAAGGCAGTCCATGTGGCACTGCCTGAGCAGTCCTGAAAGTGAGCTCCTGTGGGTTCGGAGTGTGCTTCCCTGTAGAGTGGTGACTCTTCAGGTTTCCCTGACTGTGAATGGGAAGAGGAGGATAGCTACAGCAAAAGTGAAAGGGATTTGAGGAGGAAGTTGGCAGGTTAAGGCTTTTGTGTACCTTGACAAAGAATATGGACTTCAGATTAACTGAAATAGGAAACCTTGGGAGGATTACCAGTCAGAGAATACATCCTTTTCAAAAAGTCCAGTCAGCCGCTGTGTGAGAAAACTGACGCAGACACTGGTAGAAGCAGGGAGATCTACCAGCATGCGGGTGCCATGGTTCAGAGGGGAGAGCAGGAGTGGCTTGGAGAAAAAAGTGAGCTTATTACCTAAAACCAGCAGATTTAAAGAAATGAATCTAAAAGGTGAGGCAGATATGAATAGACAAATTAGAGAAAAGGGAATACAATGATGTTTGAACATATCTCCACACATAAGGGAAATGCAAATGAAAGCAGTGTTGCAGTTTCTCTCCTATTGGGAGAAAATCCAAAACTTGATAGTACTATCTTTGGTGAGACTGTGGAAGGGTTTGCATTCATACATTTTTTATAGAAATGCAAATTGTTTGATCCCTTCAAAGGGAATTTGGCACACTACATTGCAAATGCATTTAACCCAGAAATCCTACCTGAAGGAATTGATCCTCAAAGTATACCACAACAGATGTGAAACAGCGTGTCTACAGTTTTTGCTGTATTTTCAATAGCAAAATAGTAATAACCCAAATGTCTAGTGAGGGACTGATAAACTGATTCATCCACACATGGCTGGATGGATGTAGATAAGTAGGTATGTATCTATGGAGCTGTAAAAACGATGGAAGAGATTAACCTTTACTGCTAAGGAGTGATCTCCAGGGTGTGTTAGGTGAAAAAAAGCCAGGAGGAGAGCATGCAATCATCTATATGAAAGAAGAGAAGGGAAATAATATGTATTTGCTTATTAAAACTGACACTGGAAGGAATTCTTGGCAGTCATGTGTGATTGTGTGTAACTTTTCCTTCAGTGGGTAGCCAAAGCATATTTTTGCACAAGATGTTATTTTAGTGTGGGTTTTCCATTGAAATATTAAATGTTCACTTTTTCACGCTTGACGTTATTAATGAAAGCTTTGTTTTGTGATTGTGTATTATGTGTATTATGTGATTGTATATTACTATGTATTACACCAAAGATAGTACTATATAGGTGAATCTTGTATTTCATTTGATTCTGAGTATTTTGAGTTAGGTAGCATAGGAATTGTTCCTATTTTACGTGTGAGAAGCAAGTATAAATTGAGTTTTTCAACGTTTTGTAAAATACGACTTAGTAGATCAGCTTGTCTACAGGCATAGAATTTATAGATTGACTCTTGTGGGCTTCTTCAGTTCCTATCTTTTCTGTCACCCTCTTCCCCCCAGGACATTAAGGTAATTAAATGTTAGTTAAAATAGTAACATTGGACAACGTACAGTGAAATGGAAGTAATATCTTGTAGCCTAGAAATGTTCTTAAAAGCTTTAAAAAATTGAGTAAAGTGCTCCTAAAATATAAAGGAAGAAAAGTAGTATACAGTATGTAAAATGGTAGGTTTCAGTCGTATCACTAAAACGTTGATGAAGGTTAAAACAGGGCTAGACTGAGAACTGATGCGAAGGCAGATCCAGAAGTGTATTGGCAGCCAGAGGCAGCGGAAGGGGAGCCAGGCTGGAGAGAGAGTGACTGGGGTGTGTGGAGCTCTGAGTGCTGTGTGTGCCACAGGAGACTGGTGGGGAATGTGGACTCAGGCAAAATCAGCCAGACTCAAGTGTTTGTATTATGGTCCCTGAAACGGTACAGAGATCACAGAACAGGTCAGTAAATGCAGTAAGCCTTTAAATAAACAGGTGCACAGCAGTAGGCCCAGAAACTGCTGACATCTATTTAATTGGAGTGTATTAAAATCAGTCTCTTTTTATCTGAAATAAACTGTTTTTGTCAGATGGTATCTTGGTCACTGCCTACTTGCTCTAATGTTTTAACGTTTTCATGACAGCTTATAGTTTTGTAAGTTTTTAATGTTTTTAGCTTTTAGTAATGCATTTCATTTATTCTAGTGGTGCATGTGTTTTTTATGTTCTTATCTGCTGTTTAGATCGTATAACTGATAAAATTTTAGGCTTAGGAAAGCAGTATTAGACAGCAGTAACACTTTACAGATTTCTTCTTGGCACACATTTAAGAATAGATTTAAAAATTTTAAGTTATATTTTTCCTATTCCAAACCAGAAAGCTGTCAAATTAAATTGCAATTTAAAGTAATAGAAAAGGGGTGGATCTTACAATGGAATTTTAATCATAATCCTGAATCATGAGATAAAGAGTATTTTCCTACTTTATTTTTTTTTTTTTTTTTTTTTTAGTTTTTCTCCAGTACCGGGAACTGAACTCACGACCTTGCGCTTGCCAGGCAGGCGCTTTGTTGCTGAGCTAAATCCCCAGCCCCCTATTTTCCTACTTTAAATAAAACATTGTTATGGGTTTTTAAAAATTTTTTAAAGGCATCACATAAATGATGCATATAATTGATGTTTTTTATTTTCTTGACATCTCTCTTAAATGTCTGTGTGTATGCATGTATGTTTATAGGGCCTAATGCCTTACTTATTAGCTGGTAATCTTACAGTAATGAAAATACAGTAGAGTGATTTGTAGAGTGATTCATCAGTCTCCTTAGGTTCTTAGGAATAGTTAATGGAGAATGCCGAAATGATAATAGTATGTATGAATTTATTGCCTAATAGTTTAAATGTCCATTCTACAAAATTGCAATGTATTGTATTTACCATTAACAGAAAGTAGAAGTTATAAAGAAAACTAGTGAGTTATACTCAAAATTAGTATTTTCTAAAAACCTTAAATGACAAGGCTGTAGTGGACACAGTGTCTACAGTACATACAAATGATATAAAGATCACTGAAGTAAAAATATCATTATTAACTACAGAAGAGTGGTCAAACTATGTAGTTAAATATATGCAAATTATACCCACAGTGATGTTTGTCATTCATGTCAGCAGGATTTTAAAGTATTTAAAGCTGGGATAGAAGTTAGAACTGGTACAGTTGGTAGCATTATACCCTAATGTGCTTTTGGTACCTTTCTGAGTCCTTGCACTGTATATTGAACAGTGAAATCAGTCCAACCTTTTGGATTCATATCCTCACTTTTGAAAATATTTCCTAAACAGAAAAAAATAATTTAAAAATGCTATATATTTGATGGTTTCCTTAGAATTTTCTAAAAGCCTAAATTCCCAAATAGGGAGAATGCTAAGTATAGGTCTAACACTTGCTACATCACTATATCTTAATTAAACAGTAAATATATTGGAAAGGGGTAGAGATCATTTTTCTGTAATAGGACATAAGTTGTATACTAATAAGGGTTTTGGGTGGTTTGGGGGTTGGGGTTTTTTTTCAGTGTTGGAGATCAAACTCAGGACCTTGTGCATATGAGGCAAATGCTTTACCTCTGAGATACATCCTCTGCCCAAGACGTTTTTTTAAAAATTAAGTTTCTTGGTACGTTTCTATATACACAGTGGTCACATTCATCATAGGCAATTTGTACCTATACACAGTGTGTCTTGTTTTCTCTTTTTTTTTTCCTTTCCAATCCCCTCCCATCCCTTCAACCATTTTTCCTCATTTACAAAGTTTTGTTTCCATCTTATCCTTCTTTTATTGTTTTTTCCCTTTCCTTCCCCACCACAAGGAGTTCCACTTTCTTTTAAACCATTTCTTCCTATTTTACTATACCTATTATACACTTTGGTCCTTATTTACCCTTTTGGTTTCTCATACCAAAGAAACAATGCAATATTTACACATGTATGTCTGATTTATTTCATTTAAGAATTTGGTCTCAAGGTGCATCCATTTACCTAGAAATGTCTCAAGTTTATCCTTCGTTATGGCTGAGTAGTACTCCATTATATTAAAAAAACCGCATCTTTTTTTAATCAGTTCCTCAGTGTTGGGCATTTGGGTTGTCTCCAACATGTAGTTATTACAAACTGTGCTGCTATAAACTTGGTGTGCATATATTAGTATGGTATGATGTTTTTAATTCCCCAAGGCTATTTTTAAAATATGCATCAGGAAAGAAACTGAAAGTAGTGGTTTTTGCATGTACTGATAATTTTTAAAGCATGATTTTGTCATTTGCAATTTTCTGTTCATGGTATTTATTAAATGAACAATTGATTTTTAACTACCTCTACCTTGAGTGTGATAATCAGTACTGGTCAGTAACCAGATCTCTTATACGTTGAAGATCTATCTCAAAATAGACTTGTGTAAGCAAGGAGTTCACAAGTCATTCAGGTACAACTTGACCCAGAAATGAAATGACCTCCAAATCTATTCTCTTCCCCTCTGCTCATCTCTCCTGAAAGGCTTTTCTTTCATGATGGCAGAGTTAGCCTCTGCCTAACCTCTGCCTTCCTCCTCTGGTTCTTGGGAGAGGAGAGCGGCAAGTGACTGACCAGCCCTGGGTCACATGCCCACCCTGAAACCCTGCGTAAAGGGAGTGCCAGAAGGTCCTTTGAGCTAGTTTTTCCTTTTTTCTGCATGCTGTCATTTATTTAATCCCAGCCTTTTTGAATTTTGTTTTCAGATATGTAGTGGAACATCTTGATTTGGGAGGCATGTGTGTGTTTTAAGCTTGCTGCTCTGAATCTGAAACTTAATTTTCCTGAACTGCCATTAAAAATTTGAACTACATGCTGTGGCTCTTTTATAAGCTGTTTTCTGGTAGTTTAAAAGCATTTAAAACTCAAGCGGCAGTATATTTGCTTTCTTTTTGGTTGGAGGTAGTCCTAAATCCTTTGAAAAGCTTTAGGTTAGAGACAGCTGGAAAAGCCTCTGCCTATCACATTGTGCACAGCAGCATTTTATTTTTCCTCATAGCTAACATTGTCTTACCTTCTCAGAGATGTGAAACTTTTAAAATACTTTTTATGTCTTTTTTTTTTTGTTTTTTTTCTCCAGTACCGGGAACCGAACTCACGACCTTGCACTTGCCAGGCAGGCGCTTTTGCCGCTGAGCTAAATCCCCAGCCCCTTGTGTCTTTTTCTTAATAATAGTTTTCTTCAAAAGCAGTTTAATAAAAAGAATAAAGCACTTGGTTTAGCCACGTGAGTGTCTTAGTGATCTGGGAGTACTTGTAAAATGGTTGATTCAGTGTCATGTAAACTGGAAAGTCCCAAATTATGTTCATACAAGATTCTAACCATACTACCTGCAGAGGGGAAGAGGGAAGCACTAGGGAGATGAATTAGTGATGCCAGGTTAGACTGTTGTCACTAGTAGACTGATTCATTTTTAATATATCCGTGTGCATTTTGATCTTGTAAGGTATATAGTATGTTGTGATTTGATGACTGAACCCTCTTTCAAAAAACAGAACAGTTATTGACATGCTGTTAGGCAAGTATTGCTTAACCATTATTCAGTCTAGATCCTGGTCCAGTTTCTTACAAAATCGCTTAAGTGGCTTGATGTACCAAGGAATGTCGTAGGTTCTCCACCCACCGCCATAACATTTACTATCCCATGTAATGGCAAAATGTGTATTATAAAAATTCAAGAATCTGTTTTGTAGTTTTAACCAAATAGAAGATCATCTCACGTTAGTTGCAAGGGGGGAACTGTAGGACAAAAGAAATGAGAGTGTAGCCTTAGAAATTAAAAACAAGTTTAAAAATCAGCTTCTTCATATCTTTTTTATTAGTTTTGTTTTGTTTTGTTTTGTTTTGTTTTGTTTTGTTGTGTTTGGCCTTGAACTCACTGTGATCTTTCTGCCTCAGCCTCTTGAGTGCTAGGATTTCAAGTGTACACTGCCATGTCCGGCAGAAAATCAGTTTCTGTCTTGGAAATTGTGTAATTAGGAAATTTTATGTCGTCCTCTTAAATCTGCCATGATGAATCCTCTCCTAAATTGGCCAGGGCATCACTAGCTACTTGCGACTGTCCCTGAAATGTGGTAGTAATACCAGCACAGAAGAGGGCACTTACATTCCATTGGATAAGTAAGAGAGAGAGGACATATATTACTCATTAGATTTATCGAAAAGTTACATTAGATTATTTTGGTACAAGTTTTAGAAAGTCTAAGATGTAGCCTGCTTTTATTCTACATGTATATAGAGACTCTACAGTTTTACAGTTCCACAGTAGAATTTTTATATTGTTAGCTTTTTTTTTTATGTTTATGACTAAAAACTTTTCTGAAGACTGTTAAAGTGATTAAAACTGCTGTGTAGCTATTTTAAAACATTTTTACTGAACTAAATTATTGCATCTTTTTTTCTTCCTCTATAGATTTAGCTTTGGAATCAAACCCTTCCGACCATCCAAGGGCAAGCACAATTTTCCTGAGCAAATCTCAAACGGATGGTAAGACATGTTTTTGCCATCAAGCATAAGGCTGAAAACTGTATTTTATGTGATATACTATAGAAAATATTTCGAAGAACTCATACATTGATTTAAATTCTTCAGCTTTTCATACATTCACTTATTTTAACGTGATAATTATTTTTTAATTGTCACTCTTCCAGTGAGAACATGTGGCCTTCATGTTTATACATTTTCACACCTCTTTGTCAGTACAGTAGACTATATGGTTTATAAGTGGTCATGGACATATTATTCTGCACTGTTTGGCCTTTTTCTTCTTGTTCCATAGAACTTAACTTAAAGACACATGACAAGTTAGATTGCTTTAGGTTTTCATGTGAACAGATTTTAAAAATTAGTTCATTATATATACAGGGATTGAATCTGGGATACTCGATCTTGTTTTATACAGTGCTCTAACCAAGTGAGCCTGTCTCATATCCTCATTTATGTTACTCAGAACTTTCAAGCTATTCAGAACTTCCATCCTAGTGTAATGAAAATCAGCATACATGCCAGCCCGCCAGCATTTCCAGTGTGTGCAACTCTAGTGTGCATTTCCTGTATTCTGCTAGTTTTTGGGTGAGAATCAGAACTATACTATTTTTTTGCACCCCTGCTCTTGTTTCTTAATACACGGTTAAAGTCTTTCTTTCCCCCAGAAAATCCATACATGACCAAATTTTAGTTAATTATAGCAGCAAGAATTTAAGAAGTGAGCATTCTATAATGATATTTGGAGTAATGCAGCACAGTAATAATTGAGGGTTTCCCACCTGCATTTTTTTGGCCTATCTTGAGCTGGTCATTTCTAGTTAGCACTGTTCTATTTCTCAGTTTCTTTAAGAATGACAGCTTCTCAGATGTGGAGTGTGAGGAAGCAGTGATGGCTATTCCTGATGTCTCTTCAGTGGAAAGAAATGTGTGCCTACAGTGCCTTCTAGTGTTAGAAGGCAGCATGGCCTAAGTCTCTGGAGCATTTGCTATTCTTGGCCTTTGCTAGAGCAAAATTAACTTGTGTGCTTTAAATGCAGTGTTCAATTAAAATAGCACACTCACTTAAAAACTTAAATTTAAGATAGGATGCCTTTCAATTGTCTAAAGACCCATTAATTTTTTCAGTAGCACATTTTAGTCCGTTCCCATTAGGTGGTTCAGGACATTCCCAGGGATTCTATGGGCAGAAATCAGTGTCTGGCCAGATGGTGTTTCTCTGAGCTGTCCGCTGTTGGATGCTGGTAATTAGGTGTATGGAAATGTAGAATTAGAAAATACTGTTCACTTGGGAAAGTCTGTTTAATTGTTCAGATATGCAATTGATGAATGAACTTTCTTATTAGCTAAATTTCTCACCTTGTCCAGTATATTTTGCACTTTTGTATATAGAGAGTTCCTCATTTGTACCTAATATTATCTGTTAGGTAAAAAAGATAAAAATAATTCTCAATTTTATTTTATGGAGCTAATTTTCCCAATGATTTAAATTGTTAATTTTGTTAGAAATTATTTTTTAAAAATGGAATTTTATCTCATTTTGCATATTGGTAATCCACCAGATAATTAGTAACTACTTTTATTTTTCTACAGCATTTATATTAGAATTGATCAGTTAATTTTTTTTATTCTTAGTGCGTGAAAAGCGGAAGAGCAACCATTTAAACCATGTAAGTAAACAGTTCAAAAGTTAAGAAATTAATAGTTTGAATTAAAAGTATATCTATCTGCCATGATTTCTAAAAAATGTAATGGGGACCTAGTTTTGTTATTATGGACCTCTCTTGTAGATTTTCTAAATCTCTATTTCCCTAAATATTACACTTAGGAAAGTCTTTGACTTAGTAATGTCCGTTTTTAAGGGTTTCTGGCATTTAAGTTAAATTTTAACAAAATGATTGTAAAGATCTGCCTGAAATTTTTTGCCCTAATTTTTTAGTCTTTTTTTCAATCAAAGTAAACTATTTAATAAACTAGTTTTTAGTTCCTGTCATAGTAGGTGAACATTTAGTGTCCTCATTCCATTGTGACCTTATTTCTTTCCTTGTCATATATCAATTTTTAATTAAATCATTAATTGATATTTACGGTAAGACTTTGCTGCTGAGTTGTATAGTACTCTGGGCTGCCTCCTTGTGCATGCGTAATTCTTCCTCTTAAACATTTCTGAAATCTGAGCACCTCTGTCCTAGATAATCCCTCTTCTCCTAGCCAACATTAGGCCACGTAGTTAAATACAGTAAGTAGCCCCTGGCAGGTCTCCCATTTTACATTCTTTTTCTTTTATGGATTAATTTCCTATTTTCATGTGTCGGTTTTCTGTTTTTTCCCCAAAATGTTGTAACATTTGTCACATGCCTATCAAAAATATTTTCCCTCTCCTAAAACACATCAGTTTCATTTTTCTCCTGGAGGCAGCCTCCCTTGGCCTTTTGTCCTTGTAGTCCAGTATAGGTGTTTTGTTCTTGGGTCTGCTCTTCCTCTCTGGAATCTCACGTAACTGCACTCTTGTGTTGGATCCTCTATTTCCTAGATTGTGTTTCCCCTTGTCTTGTTATACTCCTTTGTTTTACAAGAGCATATTTTGTTTATGTGTTGAAAGAGGGTCTCACTATGTAGTTTAGGCTGGTCTTGAGCCCAGAACAATCCTCCTGTGTGCTCTTGTCTCAGCCTCCTCCTGAGGGCTGAGTGCTCTGGAGCACATTTTCCTGGGAAAGGTATATGCATTATTTTATCCATCTAACTTGTTGGAAAACCCCTCCTATTTGGTAAAGAGTGGAATTCTAGGTTGAAATTAATTTTCATAGGGTTCATCTCATTTTGGGTGTTGCTATTAAATCTGTGGCCATTGTATAATACAGTTACATAATCAGTTTAGTCATTTTCCCTCAACCCTTCTCTCGAAGCTTTTAATATCCTCTCTACCTCTGGGATGCTAGAAGTTCATGGTAGAGTTTATTGTGGCCCTTTAAATCCAGTTGGGTCTGTTAAGTCCGCAGATTCTCTTCTAGAGAGAGTTTTAAAAAAATTCTTGATACTTTCTCTGTTTTTCCTGGCAGTCTTTTTATTTAGATATTGGGCCTCTTAGACCAGTGTTTCTACACCAATATCAAATTTCTCCCCACTCTTATTTTGTAATTATTGTTCTAATTTTTAAGAATTCCCAGGGCCAGGGATATAGCTCAGAGGCACAAGCGCCTGCCTGGCAAGTGCAAGGTCCTGAGTTTGATTCCCAGTACCAAAAAAAAAAAAGAATTCCTTGATTCCCAGTACCAAAAAAAAAGAATTCCTTGATTCTGTGCTTTAGCCTTTCTCTTGAATTTTTTTAAACTTTTCATTTGCTCCTGAATTTTTAGCACTCCCACAAATTCTTTTTTCCTGTTGTTTTGCCCTCTTTTCTTGGAGGCTTCCCTCGGATGTGTGGTTGTCCCTGATATTCTCTGATTGGAAGTACCACATATGAGCAGGACTTTTGTTAACTGATAGGTCTCACTGCAAGGGTTTGGAGGCAAAGCCAACTTTACATTTATGGAACCTCAGTGTCTGCTCCGGGACAGAGCTCGTTAGAATGAGCTCTCAGTCTCCTCTGTCTGTGGAGTGTAAGTGGGACCACTTGCTTTCCAGAAATTGGAAAGGAGGTACAGCTCCAATTTGCAGTGTGCAGTCTTTTTCTTCTTATTTTCTAGCTTTCAGTCCTGGTACACCTGAGCCTGGTATATCTAGGCCCAGAAACTAGTCAGCAGGTTTAGTATCTCTATAGAATAAATACCTCATTGCCTTACAGGTGGAGGATGTATGGGCTTTGTGGTCTACCCACAGATTTCCACCCACCTTCCTGCCCTTTACTTATGTTTCGCTCCAAGTTCCTGTGTGCCTCTGAGTTGGGAGCCGGCTGCGGGTTCTGCCAAACAAACTAGCCAGCCTATTCCTGTTCTAGTCACCTTTCATAGCCACCAGAGTTTGCTTCCACTGTTCTTCCATGGTCTTCTAGCCCTATGTCTACTTCTCATCTTTCAAACATTAAAACTGTCAAAGCTCTTTCCTGACCTGTATATAGCATTTATTTTACGATTTCAGGAGGAAGGTGACATATTTGTGGTTAGTCCACCATGTGTAAATGAACTTGGATGAATTTAGCAGCTTTAAGTATAAATTTTAGTTTAAATTCAATATACTCAATGATATTAATCCAGAATCTGTAAACTGTCCTCTAATTAGCATATACTAAGGTCTTAAGAAGACTGCTCAAACCACACACCTTGCTGTATTGTCCTAGTATTGTACAACACAGATGGAACAGTTTCCATGAATGCATAGAGCGCTAGAAAATTTCAAGTTAATTAAATCATTAGTTCTTTTAAAAAATCCAACATTTGTCTTGTAAAAAAAGAGAGAAAAGTGAATGTCTTATTTTTTTAATAGGTTAGAATAGAGGCAAGTAGGCATATTGAGAAAAGTCAGTGGGTGCGGACAGGATTTCAACTAGTACTTTCCCTTTACTTTTAAGGTTGGGGTTATGACTTAGTAGACTGCTAGATGCGATGATTTTCTAGTTACGGTCATTTGACCGTAAGTCTAAGTACCCCCTTTCCCTTCCTGTAAAGATTGTGAAATTCCATACTCTGTCATTTGTGCTGACTGAATGAAGAAAAATGTTACTCTGTCTTTATTTTAATAACCAGCTGCCAGTGGTGTTTTTGCTGTTTTTTTTTGATATTTGCATTGTATAACCTTATGTTTGTCAGTAGATTTTATTAAGGTTCTGAGCCAGCAATTGTAAGGTTTTAACCATAAAAGGAAATTGTCTTAACTTTTAAGCAAGGTGAGGGGAAAGTTACCTGTTGGCAGTTATTTCCCAAACTCTACTATGAGGTTAATTTTGCCATCCTCTGGTCTTAAGATTGAAAAGTTGGAATAGCTGGAGTGACTGTTGTGTCCCCTGCTGCATATTGCTTAGCAGAGAGTCTCTACGGTCAGCTTTTCCTGTCACCTTGATGCGTGGGTGAGAGTGGGACAGAGGCGGCTGTTTCTCTGAGATGAGAGGAAGCCCGACCTGATGGGGGTGTGTTCCGTGTTTCTCTGGCTGAATCTAGGAGGTTGTTGATTCTCTAAATGACCTTCCATAGAGCTATGAGACCACATCTCATTAAAAGCACCAGTATTTTCAAAGACAAGCCAGTATACATCCATAATAGGGCAATTGTAACTAAAGGAAAATGGGAGAAATGATCACCTAAAGCTCTACCCAGCTAGTCTATATTTGGATTCATTTCCACTCTGTTCTTTTTATTCCTGTCGAGATTTTTCATCAGAATTGATTTTTGTTAGTGATGGAGAGTATATGCCATGTTACCTGTAATATAGGTTTAGCACCCCTAATTTAGAAATCCAAAATGCTCCAAAAATCTAAAATTTTTGGAGTGCCAACCTGGCACTGCAAATTGAAAATTCCCAGCTGACCTCATGTGACAAGTTTGCTGAAAATACTATATAAAATTACCTTTAGGCTCTGTATATAAGATATATATGAGCACATAAATGAATTTTGTGTTTAGACTTAGGTAGTTCCTATCTCTAAGATTATTTTTATTTAAAAATCCAAAAACTTCAGATCCTGAACAGTTTGATTTTAAGATACTCAATCTGTACTAGTGACTTTAAAATGATCTCTTCCATATTTAATAAAAATATTTGAATAAAACACTGTTTATACTGTATTTGTTTTTTGAAATTATGAAAGTATATACATTAACAGTGTAATATGTACACCTTAAATAGTTTAAGAAACATCAGAGTTTAGACAGTTAAAGTATTTGTCACTTGAAGGTGAATTTAGCCCTCCTAATAGTCACACTTTTCAAAAATACATCTGAGTCTTTCTGTTTGTAAGAAGTAAGTGGCCTTACAGTTAAAGCAGCTGAGACAAGCAGAGTGCTATTGTGCACACTGTATGGGTGCCCCAACTGCGGGCTCTCAGCAGTGTGTACCTGTGGGTACTTGTAACTAGGTCTCCTGTCTGCCCCATCATTTGGAGTCGGTGGAGAATACTGATGGGAGAGAGTGATAGCAGGATGGAAACCGTTATATTAATAGAGTGAAGGAAGGCTCATCTGAATTAGCTGGTTTCTTAAGAACATTACAATTTTTGCTATTCTGTGGTTTTACAAAATGTTGCTGTTAATTTTGAGCTATTCAGACAAGATTTGGTTATTAGCTTTCAAGGAAGAATTTGTCAACATAGTTTAGGGTGTTTCAGTATTTGACTATTGTTCTTCTATTCTTTGCAAACAAATGGATACTTCTAAAGTGTTTTAAAGATAGTTTATTCTTTAGAGGGCTGAAAAAAATTCATTGCAACCACTGCAGCTAAATTCTCACTGATAGGTATCTATAGTCTGACTTATCTTCCAAATCCTAATTGATTCTTAAACAATAATTTGTCAGACGCTTGTTGAACTTGCTGATTTGTTCCACATTCTGTGCTCAACAGCAGGAAGTAGAAGCAGTAAGAATCCTCTCTTCTCTGGAGAAGCTTAGTTTCTTACTGAGAGGGTACTCTGCAGGCAGATGATGTCCTGTCACAGTGGTGAATTGGAGGATAGGTTTGCAAAAAGGGAAAAATTTTGTGCTGTGGCTGCTGCGAGAGGTGTCCCAGAAGGTAGATGGGGTCAAGCTTCTGGGACACAGAGGAAGAAAAGGCATTCTAAGAGAGCAGCGTGTATGAAGTGGGAAGGCTGAGGTTTTCATCTGAGTAATGTACTGACAGTCTACTTAAACATGAAGTGAAAGTTAAATTTCCAAAGTTGTTTTTGTTGTCATCTATTTCGTTTATGAGAGGCTCTTTTAAAAGTAGTAATTTTACCCTCTACCCAAGGGAACAGGCCTGGAGAAACCTGTGGCCTGTGGCTTATTAGTGATTGAGCAGCCTTGGCACACAGAGCCTTTGACTGATGCATTTGTGACATCACATTTAGTAAAATGCTCTTGTACCAATAATATTTAAGCTATTACATCTTATGCTAGTTACCAAACAGAAATAGAAAATCTCAGGTACTTTTTAGTACTTAAGAGAAAAACAGTGATAACTTACTTTAAACATTTTATGATATTTATAAAGGGAATTCATAGTAGATTCTTGCCAGGTTTGATTAAGGGTAGCATTTTATAGCCCATTCTTTAACCATCACCTGTGGAGGTCAGCAGCCTCCTATGGGTTCCTGTAGAGGCACACATGAAATCTCACTCAGGCAGCTCATGCAGTGTAAGAAATATCTTAATGCTTTATCGTTTGACATTTTAACCCAGGGAAAAAGACACATTTTATAGGTTTAACTTACTGTGACATTTTCTTCTATTTCCCTTCCCCTTCAGGTATCTCCAGGGCAGCTTACTAAAAAGTATAGCTCATGCTCAACAATATTTCTAGATGACAGCACAGTCAGCCAGCCTAATCTTAGAACCACAATAAAATGGTGAGTACAACTAGGTTGCCAAGGGCTAAGTGACAGACCCCTTCTGCCAAAAACATTCCAACCGTTCTTGGTACTTTCAGCCATTTGATTGTCCTCAGTGCTCGGTTTAAGAGTTGGGGCCAAATGTGGTTTTTCAGCTTCCATTTTAATCTCAGACTGCGTGGTGGAAGGGAAAGCCAGTTAGCAAATGAGGAACGCCAGAAAGGTGTACCTCTTTATTTAATGTATTTATATTGTTGAGCCACTGTTGAACATAAGAGGTGCTTTTTATTGGCTGTTTCTAGAAAACAAGTAGTTCTGTGAAGCTGTAGGCCTAAAGCATTGTTCATCACTTGGAAGAAGGGGCAGCTTGTCCTCTGCGAGCACCACAGTATATCTGCATTTGGGTTTTTCCCCATCATGGGTGAACATGGGTCACAACTGGAGGTGCCCTGTCAGCATGTCCTCACAGGAACCTTTGAAGCTTATTAAAATGATGACAAGACCAGCGCGCAGTGTCCTTGTTCAGGGAACATTATTAATGTCTCCTTGGGTTACGAGTGTTGATTTTCAGAAGACAGGTTACAAGTGCTTTTTTAGAATGTTAATATCCTTGTCCCTAACTTTTTAAAGTCGAAAATATAATTAGTTTATAACCTTAATTTTGTTTCTAATATGTCATGTCAGTTTTTAAATTTTTAGCTCAAATTACCAATAACTTCTATTAAAAACGACAAATTCACAAAGTAATTTTCCTCTCAAATTTATAGTAGTTGAGATCAAATTGCGTTTCAACAAAAACTGAACCTCTCTAAAGTCCTAAGATTTGGTACCTGTCAAGTAATCACTGAATGTTTATATTCAGCCAAAGCCCTAACTCCATGGGTAAAAAAACCACTCAATTTGAATTAAGGTCCTCAGCTTTTGAATTCAAAACATTGTGATGTTTCAGTGTATAATTCAGTGTATAGTTCTAACGAGTAACCTTCCTCAAACAAGTGGGCTTCATGCCCCTACCTTATTCTATTTTGTAGAAGTCTGCAGTAAACTAAAAGTTTTACTTTGTTTTCAGTACATTTTTAAAATTCACACTTAAGTTTGTTCACTATTGGTGAAATAAACGTTTTCTAATTGATAGATCAGATTGGCTTTTAGGAAAGATTTTTTTTTCTTTAATGTCATGAGATAATAGTGCATTGTTCTAAGTAGGTAAACCTTATTTGAATCACTTACGCAGTTTCTCCCAAATACTGCACGTATCTGCAGACACATGCATTTTTCCACCTGCATCTTCCCTTCCATGTGTATAGGTGCTCACAAGCCTGCTAGGAAGTTAGGGGTGAAGATGAGGTGTAATTACTTAGCTAAAAGTATTTTGGGTGATTCTGATCTTAACTCTAAGTCGTTCCCGAACTTGGCTGCACGTTGGGATCCCTCAAGGAACAGTCCTGGTACCCAGGTCATCCCCAGTGTCCGTCTGTCAGCTTGTGTCAGGGTCGAGTCAGGCTAATGTTGAAACCACTAATGTGCCAGAGAAGAACTGCTCCATTTGGTGGGGCCTTGGGCAAGTCAGCTTCAAGCCTTGGTTCCCTTATCTGTAAAATGGATTGTTGGATGAAGTATCATGTAAGGCTCCGTGGTCCTCTTCAGTATATGAAATCAAATTCTGTGGTTTTAAACTCAATTTGGAGACAAAACTGAAACACTATAGAAGTATCCATCTTTGACAGCAGTAATGTTACAGACTTCCTGAATTTTAAAATTTAAAATACTGTGTATACTTTTAAAATTCAGATTTGCCTTCCCTCAATTATTGTGAGCTTCACTTTAGACAGCGAGGGCAAATGGAAGCATATAACATACCTCAGAGAACCGCTTGTTCCCGGATACACAGCGTCTGTGCATAACTTGGGGTGCAGTAACATGAGGTCTGGAGGGTTGCGTCTCTTTACTAAGAGTTCAGTTAAACTCATTTGAAAGGCTGACAATGTTACACTATGTAGTTATGCTGCATTGTTGTCACTGATTATTTCAGGATTGCTTGACTTGCCAGTTTGTAGGCACTTACACTTACTAATAAATTTTCTACTAATAATCATGCAAAAGGGATTTTAAATAATGTTAATTGCTATATCCAGCTATTTCAGTATTTACTTTTGAGTGAAGTAATGAAAAATGGTGGGTAGGTGAACTAAGTGAACTGAAATGTAGGGCCAACTACTTTTTTTAAAAGACTGTGGCATAAAATTAAGTGTACGTACAGATAGATACATGGAACATACACAGGGTGGAGGGTTTTATGGGTAGAAAGGCAAGTGAAGGGGAAATACTCAGTGTATGTTATAAGCAACAGAAACATGTCTTCTAACAGCACGTTACCTAGCATTTTCATTTTATTTTTGCTATAAGGCAAAAAATAAAAAAAGCTAAAACAGGGAAAATGCCCATATGGTGCTATTCTGAACAGGAAGATTTTAGGGATGCTGAGGAGACCTTCTCCCCACCCCCCAAATCCCTTCAGGCTTAACAGATGATGAAAACAGTTGTTACAAAAGTGTTTTTTTCCTCCCACAGTGTGACCTTAGCAATATATTACCACATAAAGAACAGGTGAGCTTTTTAAAAACCTGTCTTGTTATTCCAGCTAATTTGCACGATACCAGGTATAGTATTAGATCATTACTATAGACATCATATAGTGTCATTTTAATGTCATTTTTTAAATTACCATAGTGTGGTTTTATTACAGTAATGTGTGTGATTTTATTCCAGTACTGAAGCAAGTCATTTGGAATTTCTTGTTATAACTAGGTCTCTTTTAAAAATGTTTTATGATAGTGAAGACCTCAAAGAATACTTGTTTCTGTGGGTTATATTGATGTTTACTATTTTAGAAATTAATACTCAAATTAGAAATTAATTAGAAATTATATATGAATTCATATATGTCTACACATATGGCATGTTACACTAGGTTCTTACCATTGATACTGTTGCTATTTTTAACTAGATAATTCTATTGTGGGTGTATTGTTTCACAGTCTCACTGTCCCCTGCCCAGTAGATGCTAAGTAGTATCCTGCGGCGTGTTATGACAACCAAACATGTCCCCTGTGGGACATAATACTCCCCTCCCAACTATGAACCACCTTGTTAACATAAATATCTTTTCATGGAAAAGAACTGTTCTCTGCAGGTATTTAAATGCTTTTTTAGTTGATTGAAAAATGTCTATAGTTTTGCAAATCTATTCCAAAGACAACTAGATTGTAATGTTTGTTGGTTTGCATTTACAGTTTTGTGTTGAAGAAGCAATAAAAAGACAACCTAGTCTCATGGAGATATATACAGTAGTTGAATAAAAGAATATTTTTAAACCTTTCAGATAATTGTGGATATTTTTGTACTATTATATTACATACCACAAAGGTTAGTTTCTTAAATTACAGTGGAATTTTACATTTTTTCACTGAACTTGTTACATTAATACTGTTTGGTGTACTGTATCTTGCACAACTAGTAGATCTTTTACCAGTACATGATTTTATAATATGCATTGATCATTTTGGAAAATATTGGTTATCATTCCTTATAGGGTCAAAAACTCATTTTTGATAGTATCACTACCAACTTTGTAAAAAAAAGTCCCCCAGTATTGAGAAGCTGTCAGGCGCACAGTAAAGAGTACTAGTTTTCCAAAATCTTAATTTTTGTTTTTTTTTAGCTTGACAGTTTGGATTTTGTCACTAATAACAAATACTGGCTATTTTCCTTTTGACAGGCCTATTTTGTTCAGTAGTGTTCTATCATAAGCAGCTTGTTTACTCACAACTAAATCACAAATGCTTTTTCTTAATAGCTATACTTAGCTACACATAAATGGTTCATGTGAACTTTGCGCTTGTGGTTTTTTTGTTTTTGTTTGTTTTTGAGAGTCAAGATTTACTAGCATTAGTTTTTGCTGCTATCAAAGAAGCAAGGTCTGGTTTTTTTGTTTGTTTATTTTTTTTTTTTAATTACACTGTAATTCGGTCTGGTCTTGAACTCACTGTGTAAGCTAGGCTGACCTTGAAATCGTGGCAGTGCTACTGCCTCAGCATCCCCAAGGGTGTGCCACCACATCTGGTTCTTTCTTTAAGTGCAAGTAGCACTGAAGAATGGATGGCTGCTAGTGTAATTTAGTATTCTAGTCTTGATTCATGCTGTGAAATAAGTTTTACTCATTTTTGCTTTTATACTATTATATCTAAAAGGGGAAAAAAAGTGTAGTAATATCTTAAGAACATTGACTACATGCGACTCCTGAAAAAAGCCTAAGGGATCTCACAGAATCACTGGTTTATGTGAGCACAGTGTATTACTTTACTGAATTTTTAAGACTAATGTCTTTTAAAATAGAAAAGCAGCTGAAATTTTATATGCAATCTAGTAGAAACAAAAAATAGATGATAAAAATGTAGAACACTAAAGAGGAGAAACCTGGGAAACCTGAATCTCATTCATGTACATTAAGATCTCCGAAGCCTTGATTGCCCAGCATTGCTGCCTTGTGAAAGGAGTGAAGCTATATTTGGTCTAGTAGCACTGCCAGTTTAAGTCATTACTTAGGGCAGCTTTAGTTGGTCGTTTCGTAGTACTTGATGCACTGAGTAAAAAGCCTTAAGGCCAGAATCTAGGAGAAGAAACTATGGAATTGGTTCCTTGATTGAAGGTTAGGCTTCTCCCTCAAACCACCTCTACCCCTAAAAGATTTGTTATTGATTCCTGATGTTAATGATTCCTGAATTAATTTTTAAATTACGTTCTTATTTTACAGAGATGCAAATAGATCACTGGATATTTTTGATGAGCGGTCACATCCACTCACAGTAAGTGTCCCTTTGTTTTGGAATTGTATTTTTCTGTCATTGAGTTGTATGTATTTCATTCAAGTTTGCACTCACATTAATTACCAGAAGAGTGGCTACAGAGAAAGACTTTTCAACCTAAAAATGAATTTGAGAGTTCTGTAGGGAAAATGGAAAGGAACTTCAGTTTTCTGAGATTGTATCTGTATTTTTCTTTAATGAGTGGTGATGGGTGGTACAGTCATGTGTTACTTAAGAGTGGGATACAGGGGCTGGGGATTTAGCTCAGCAGCAAAGCGCCTGCCTGGCAAGCACAAGGTCATGAGTTCGGTTCCCGGGACCAGAGAAAAACAAAAAAAAAAAAAAAAAAAAAAAGACTGGGATACATTCTGAGAGACATGGTGTTAAGCAACTCCATTCTTGTACAGAGAGCATAGTGCACTCGCACAACTAAGATGGTTGTGGCATCACTAGGTAATATCTTAGGGGACTGTGGTTGTATATGTGGCCCATCATTGACCAAAGTGTCATTATATTTGGTATGGTTGTAGATCCCACTGTTCATATCTTAAGAGTATGTAAAATGTTTTCTTTGCTGGCTACTTATATTGCATCCTTTCTTTCTTCAGCGAGAGAAGGTTCCAGAGGAGTACTTTAAACATGACCCTGAACACAAATTTATTTACAGATTTGTTCGTACTCTCTTTAGTGCTGCACAGCTGACAGCTGAATGTGCAATAGTAACTTTGGTAAGATACTTCTTATTTATCAAGCATGTTTTGAAGTTGGTCTTGTACATAGGGTAAGGTCTCGGGTTTTTTCTAATAAAAGTAGGTTCCTGAAATTATCGTAACTTTTAAGAGAAACCTGTCGAAAGAAAGTAAGTACACATCTATGAGTGTAATAAGCATTACAGTTTACATTGTTGCCTTTGCTTTTCTCATCATAAAACAATTGCTATTAAAGGTAGTTGGAGAGATTTTCCCCCACACTGCGGTATGCACGTGCTCAGACAGAGCACACCGTGGGGTGGGGTGGGCAACAGTGACAAAACCATGTGGTCCACACGGGCTGAGTCCATGCACTTCTAACCAAGTCCCAGGATGTGTTTGTTCCCCAGGCAGTTCTGATGTGTGTTTTGATGGAGAATTGTTGCCTTCGGTTCTCTGCCCTGAGTGTTACGGGTGTTAATTCATCCCGCTGACCTGTGTCTGTCTGTGAAGTTGCCCCAAGTGATAGTACTAGTTCTTAGAAAGGCTTTGTTAGCCTTCTGAGCTATAGGTGTGTCCTTGGCATTGGGTCATCCAGAATTCCTAATGGGAGATTATCATCATTTTGAATAATAAATTCTGTTTAAGTGGTTGAGATTTGTTTTACTCCTTCCCTAGCAGGTCTATAGTGGAAAGTCAGCTGCATGGCCTGGAGGGAAAGAGTACTTAGGTTAGTACCTACTGCAGTAGCATCCAGGGAGAATCTAGAGAGGAGGCTTACACATTGTCCAGTAACTGCTTGGATATGTGGAACTGGAGCATGAATCTGAGAAGTAAGGAATTCAGAGTAACTGTTCAAATACAGAGAATGTGGACAGTGAAAAGTGGGCAGGAAGTCCTCACAGAGCCACTGTAAGCTACCATCAGTTTTTAAGGGACAGAGCAGTAGGAGGAAAATGAGAGGGTGATAGAAGAGACTCCAGATAAGAATATGTATGATTAGAATGCTAAATACAGCTAAGAAGTGCATAGATACTCGCTGGAGAGCTACTCCTTGTCACTGTTGTAGTGCTGGGGTAGAGGAAAGAACAGGTTAAAATTCTGGCCTTTATGAGCTTTTGTTCTGGTAAAAAAGACATTTAATCGTTGTTGAAGTATATGACTATTGCAGGTAGTGGTAAATCCCAAGAAGGTAAATCAGGGTAGAGGGCTAAAGAGGGATTAGAAAGGTTTCTATTTTAGACAGAATGATCAGGAAGAGCTACTTCAGAGATGAACAGCAGCCTGACAAGTGAGGAAGTTAGGGTGCTCAGGCTTTACAGGCAGCAGAGCAGGTGCCAAAATTCCAGCGCAGGAGCATGTTTCATGGGCTCCAGGAAGAGCAGGGCAGCCAGCGCGGGGTGGGGGTGTGTGAGGCTTTCTCACAGCTTGTGTAGCTTGTGGGCCATGGGAGGAAGTTAAATTCTAGGTTGATGGGTGTCTTGGTTACTTTTTTCTCGCTGCTGGGACAAAATACCTGACGCCCAAAATTAAGGAGGGAAAGGTTTATTTCGCTTACAGTTCATGGAAGTCTCAGCCCGTACTTGGCAGATTATCAGGCAGAGTGGCACGTGTAGAGGGCTGCATCTCAGGACGGCAGCACAGCAAAGCTGCCACCACACACACACCCGGGCAGAATGGGGGAGGAGTGCCCCAAGCACTCTTTTCCTGTCCCTTACATATGCAAACTATCCACTCCCAGGCGGGTGCAGCTCTCACACCCATATTCAAACTCTAATAGCCTGCCCCAGGGCCGCAGGAGGCTTTGGGGGGACACACAGACATAAACCATAACAATGGGTAACTTGATAAATTTCAAAAGGGAGAACAGAGTGCCCCTAATTTAACAGGTTCACAACAGAGCTGTAATTTGTATGTTTTGCTGCCAGGTGGTGGACATCTGGTGGTGCATGCGTGACTACCTCCGGGAGCGTGTTACGAGGGTTTCCTGACTGCTCTGGAGAGAGTAGACTGGTTAGGGTTTAGATTAGAGGCGGAGGGGGCCAAGGATGTAGCTCAGCAGCACAGTGCCTGCCTAGCAAGTGCAAGGCCCTGGGTTCCATTCCCAGTACCAAAAACAAAAAACAACAGATTAGAGGCAGAGAAGGAGGGCGGGGAGAGAACAGCGATGCAGGTGAGCAGTGATAGTTGGTAGCTCAGGATAGGAAGCCATCAGCTCACCAGTGAAGGGCAGGGGGAGGGGGATTGCTAACAGTTTGGAGTGGGAGTGGATAACTCAAGTGTAGGTTTTTGGTTCATGCAACTAGGTAAATGGCAGTGCCTTTACATATTAGGACTGAGGGATGCAGAGCTGGGATGAAGGGCTCTGGGTTGTAAGTTTGAGTGTCCCAGGAGTACTTTTAGCCAAGAGATAGTGGCAATAGGCAGACGAAAGTGAGTTAAGAACAGGGTGGCGGTAAGCTGACTTGGGCATGATGTGGTGAGCAGAGTAAGAAGCAGCACTCTAGGACTTGTCGGAAGTGGTATGGAGACAGCAGAAACATATTCATAATGGGAAAGCTCTGTGGCAGAGAGGGAGAAAGTCCTCAGAAGGAGGTACAGTAATTGCAGGAACTGTTCTGCAGAAGTGGGAGGGGGCCAACTGCATAAATAGAAGAGTTGCTTCATGGGAAGAAAAGAAGTCTTCCAGGTGCACGGCAGGGCAAGTGGTGTAAACGTGTCGGCCCAGAACAAGCCTACGGGGAAGGTGGCCAGAAGTTGAGGAATTGTCCGTGTTGTTTCACTACTCTTCAGTTGTTCTTATACAGCAGAGAGTTGAATTGTGCAAGGGAGGTTCATTCGTAGGATACTTGAGAGTGCCAAGTTCTGGGGCATGAGAGGAGACTCTCACCAGGAATGTGTAACATTCAGTAGCCACTGGGTTTTGAAAACATTTGAGTTTGGGGAAGATTGACCTGAACTGCTTGTCTGACAGCCTTCTTCAGATACCATTTTATTTTGGACCATTTTATTTTGTCTTGATGCAGAGAGGTCAGATAGCATATGCAGTGTGCTCTCTGTGTGTGGGCTCTGCTTCTGTGATTTCGACCACTAGTGGAATGAAAATATTGAGGGGAAATTTCTGTCCATATTCCCTAAACAACATAGCATAACTGCTGTGTACATAGCATTTACATTATATTTGGTAACATAGGTCACCTAGAGAGAGACAGCTAACTGAAAGGACATGGGAGGACGTACATAGTTACATGCACATACGGGGCCGTTTTGTGTACTGGCGCATTTTGCTGTCAATCAGATTTGGTCCTGGAACCGATCTCCCATCTGACACCGAGGACGGCTGTCCGTGCTTCCGCAGTGACCTTTGAAGTAACAGCACGTCACAGCTTCCTCTCTTCACTCAGCTGTTAATTTCACCCAGTTCTTAGTGGACTTGGTATTTGATGTGTGTAAAATAATTCATGAGATTGTCTCAAAAACTGGGGATTTAGGCATCCCAGGGATACAGACTGGCAGCTTGAAGACCTTAAAACCAGCCAAATCAGCTAAGTTGGAGATTATATAAGAGAAATTAATTACTTACAAAGTTGATAGCGGAAATGTGCAACATAAGGGCTCTAAGAAGGACTGTCCTTTTTTCACATCATAAAGGCAGTGAATTGGGAGAAAGCTTTATAGACCTGCAGGGGTCGTGCCACTCTGCTCAGCAGCCACTGGGAGGCTCTCTTGTCCACCATTTCTCCAGTTAGTGTCCCAGAAGTGTTAGTTATTGTGACAAGCAGATTAAAATGTGCTCACTGTGACTTGGCTTCTCCACATTCAAGCGTGAGATGTCTAAAATCACCGTGGAACTGCCTGCTGGGCATGGTACCTTGCACTCGGGGAGGCACTCAGTATTCACTGAATAACTTTGATCTACGCTGGGCTGCATCTGCGCTCTGTGTGTATGACGGTGGTGCAGTGCCTCTCTTCAGGATGCCCTTTGCCGAGATGTCTGTAGTCGTTCCTAGGGCCAAAACAGGACTGCGGATTTGTGTGGGCAGAGTCGGCAGCAGAGGTGTCTGACTTCCAACTGGAATCTGACCTCTTGCTTTGGCTGAGCAAAATCTCTGTAGGACTTGAAAGTAAAAGGCACTCACTTTCTGGTCAAACACGGAAGAAATGTCATTCATAACAGTTCTTACTGTAGCACTTAAACTGAACTAAAATCAAAGACCAGTGCTCTACTTTTACAGGTTTACTTAGAAAGGCTTTTAACTTATGCTGAGATCGACATTTGTCCCACTAACTGGAAAAGAATTGTTTTGGGAGCCATTCTTCTTGCCTCCAAGGTTTGGGACGATCAGGCTGTATGGAATGTGGACTACTGCCAGATCCTCAAGGACATTACAGTTGAGGACATGTGAGTTTGTAAGGTTTTGGTGAACTTTCTAACCATTTTCCAGTATCTCATTTGCTCCCAAAAAGTGTACTTTTTAAGAAATAATTTTTAAATGGTACATGCAGGTAATGGAAATAGGCATAAAACTAATACTTCCTATCCAACTGTACCCTAACAGTTCTTATTTTCCACTACTGATTTGTAGGTCTTGGTGTGTCATTACTGTAATAATGTGCTTGATAAATTGGAATAATTTTTCTGGCAATGTTTTGCCAAACATCTTAAAAGCTTACAACTGGAACAGCATAGTACAGTGTGTATTTTTATGGCTTTTACAAAGCTGCCTACCAGTACCAGTCCCTTTTTAAGGGACACATGTCAGGATTTTGAAATAAAAGTTTGGCCACTATTAAGGTCTTAGGGCCCTGGACTGTTAAAAGGTTTTAGCTTCAACCTGAATCACACATTGTACACTACATTTGTCCCTCACCCAGCACATCTTACAGAAGTCAGGAGACACGAAGTAAGGTTTCAGATCCCTGTGTTCCCGGCTGCTCTCTAGTAGGCTGCGGTGTATGCAGAAATTGCTGTACTGGGCTGGGAAGCTCCAGGAATCGCCTCAGCAGTGTGAGAAGCACTGCAGGGGCATCAGCTGGTGCTCGTCACCCTGGGTGCTCAGCCAGCTACAGCAGTGCTCTGGGGGCCCTTGAGGTACCTGTAGGAGTGCAGGGAGGACCTCGCCCTGTGTGAGGCTTCTCACAGGTGGCACAGTAACAAGACACCAGCAGAACAAGGGCTTCCATTCAGCCCGGCCGCCATGGAGGGCGGGTTGATGAGGTGGGAGGCAAGGTGAGCAGGGGCGGTGTTCTCTAGCAGGCTACTTTTTTGTTTTTTTGTTTGTTTGTTTTTTTGGTACTGGGAATCAAACTCTCGACCTTGCACTTGCCAGGCAGGCGCTGTGCCACTGAGCTATATCCCCAGCCCAAGGTATATATCCCTGGCCCCTAGCAGACTATTGGAGTGCCCAGTTGCCAGCAAAAACGTCTTTGTGGGTGGCATGTAGGAATGTGTGAAGGAACACCTTGGTCGTATTATCACAGGAAGCTTAAGATCATGACAACCGTTCGTCTTTGTTACCTTTGCCCATTATTCTAGATAAGGCTGTCATCCAGAGTTACCAACTCTTTTTACAGCTGAGGTGGGGACTCCTAAGATTTAGAAGGGGCAAATGGTTAGTTGTAGCAGTTGGCATGGCATTGGGGAAAACGACCATTTTGCTGGTAGTGTAACTTCAGTGGTCATGGTGATACTGCTTGGTTAGCCTTCTTGGCACAGGTTGTGGCAGTAAGACTCTGAAACAAGCGGAAGTACTTTTGGAAGTTACAGAAGCTAATGTGACTTTGATTGCTGTTTGTCCTCAGCCTGCAAATTGGCCCCTTGGAAAAAACAAAATTTGGAATCAAGAACACTACCCCTGCCAGGATGGCAGCTAAAATTTTCTCAAAACCTACAGCTAAGCTGGCCAGGGCTCTGGTTGTAGCTAGCTCTACAAGATGAGAGAAGACCCAGGGAAATGTGTCAGCTTCCTCTGATAGGAGCTCCAGGAGCAGGAGAGGCAGGGCCAGCCACAGTGCCAGTTCTTAGAAGGCTTTTTGTATGTGAAGAGAGAAATACCAAGAGCCATTTTCCTAACCGGCTTTTATGATCTTTGGAAGTGGGAACACATACAGCACAATGTTTAGTGTACATTTGTGTCATCCCCCTGCTGTTGGCTGTAATGGTCTCATTTTGAGTCTAAACTGAAAAAATTTTTTAAAAAATCAGCATCTTATTTTTCTGAAAACTTTCCTACTATGTGTCTCATTTCTTCTCTTCAAAAGAAGTTAAAATGAGCAGCTCCTATTCAGAACATTTTCTGTGCCTGTAAATTGTATGCTATTCAGCCATTAATACAACAACAAAACACCCCAGAAGATCCATATTCTGTAGGCATAATGCTTTTCTTCAGTGATGAAACCTCTCGTAATAGACATGTTAATCCCATGAAGTACTGTATTTCTACAGTTAAAATATATTAGTGGAGAAAGAAATAAAAGGGATACTGAAGTGCATTCATTCCTGTAGTAAATTAAATCCTGATTAGCTGATTATCAAAACATTATCTGATTTACATTTCTATAGACTTACTGCCGTATGAACAGGAAATTAATTGTGGGAGTAGGATCAGTTTGGTTTTAATTGCACCAAGAAAACAACATTTCTACTCATTCTAGATGCTCTCCATTGCAGGACGGCATTAAGCATTCTTTTTACTTGGTCACTGGATGAAATATTAAAAATGTAAAGCCAAGAAACCAAGTATGTTATAAAATAAACCTTGCTCATGTTTACTTATTTGTGTAAACTTCACTTTCTACAGAGATTGCCGTGCAGTGGTAAGGGTTGCTCGGCCCTTGTGTGTATTGACTGTGAGCCCACGGGCAAGGGCAGCTCCACATCAGGTAGCAAAAGGCTCCCCTCCCCTCAGCGCTGCCCTGCCCTTCGCACCACCTGGAACTCCCTACCCGTCGGTGCATTCTAGGACTTTCCAGATACACAAATAGGGCTTAGAAGTCCAGGGCTGTCATGTCCTTCAGTGGGTTTAGTCTAGCCATGACATGTTTTCGGTCTGCCTTCTGAAGTTTAAAAGGAGTATCTCGATTGTCATGGTGGCAGTTGGTCACCCTAGCAATATTAAGGTGAGCAGGAACTTGCATTATGCCCTTTGACATCGCCTCATGTGCCGGGGCCCAGGGAAGGGATTTCCTTTCCCATCCAGTGCAGCTTATTTATGTATTTATTTGAGATGAGTCCTTGTTGCCTCAAGAGTTTTCCCCCTCAGAGATAATAGCAGTGGCTCTCGATGGATCCATTTGTTGCCGTGGTGATGTGCCCACTTCTTTTGTTGGCGCTTCTCTACTTCAATAAGCGCCTTCCTGTTATCAGCTTGGTAAAAATGTCTGCAAGTTCTTCAGAGCTAATAAACAGCATACATCACTCCTTTCATCTGCTCACTATAGCAGGGCTTGGGAGTGAGAGTGGAGTCTGAATCGTACAGCTGCACTAATGGAACTCTGAAGAATGGACCCCGAGTCAGCAGCGCGAGTGCACGAGAGGGCCGCAACCTTTCCCCCCGCCCAGACTCACGGTGCTGGGATGCAGAAAGGACCACAAATAGCTGTACCTTGTTTGAGCATTAGTGTATTGTTCCAGCGGGGGAGCCTTCATTTGTTTCAAAACAGTGTTTAGAGCCATCCTAGAAGCTTAGAATGTTAGATTTGAAGCTAGCCCAGTTGACTAAAGTTGTCCTGTGTTGGTTTTGTTGTGTTCCTCCTCCCCCAGGAATGAGATGGAAAGGCATTTCTTGGAGTTACTCCAGTTCAATATTAATGTTCCTGCTAGTGTTTATGCCAAATACTACTTCGACCTGCGCTCCTTAGCAGATGACAACAACGTCAACTTTCTGTTCGCTCCTCTCAGCAAAGAGAGAGCGCAGAACCTAGAGGTAAGGCTGTGCTTTTACTGTGCAGGGCTTTCCATGAGCCACTGATGCCAACATTGTGTGCAGAGCAGTGGTTACCTGGAAAGGGGAAAGTTTTAAATTAACATGTGAATAGCTCATTAAGAAAGTGTGGTGTTATCTGTTCGTTTTGTATGAGTCTTTTTGGTTTATATCTTGAGCTGTGGGTAACTTTGAAGATAACAATAGTGTAATGACTGCTCCTATTTGGTTATGAAATTTTTTTGTATTTTGTCATAAAATAAAAAAGGAAGAGCTTATTAACTCTTTAGCATCTTGTTTCCAGGGTCTTTTATGGTGTATATAAAGATCTACATTTTTAAAAAATTATAGATATTATCTCTGCTTTGACCATTATTCAGAATGTTTTTAATCATAATTAATCTGTTCTTAATGGTTCTCCCTTTGAGCCGCTGTCCTTCTGCATAACCATATCATAATTGCTTAAAATTGTGTCCCTAATTGTATCTACATACATCGCTCGCCTACTATCCTTGACTGTCTTTTACTCAGTTTGCACATTCATGTTCAAACCCAGGGGCTTACTAGATGGCATTAGTGGCTATGCTGGGAGACCTATACTTAGGATGTACAATGTTTATTTCAAATATGTACTGCATGTGGAAAATACAGTTTTATAATGGAATTGGTAGTTTACATGGGGCAAAGTAATATCTACAGCTTATGACTGGGCATTTATACACCAAAAACAACCCACAACTGAGGTAGACGCATACTTTGAAATGGCACTTCTGTGGTAGCTTGATAGTATCTTAGAATAATGCTTTTCTTCTATAATCAGTGCACTTCTGACGGATGCCTCAGGTATTTAGACCCATCCTGCCCTCCAGCCCACACATGCCTTCCTCACTGACAACTGCTGAGAGTGTTTAATAGCAATGAAGACTAGGTAGAATCTGCAAAGCTGACCCAGTGTTCACAGATTGTTTCACACAGGTGCGTGCATGCTCTTTAAGGAACAGTTGCACAGGGGACAGACAATGTTGCTGTGAGGAGCCTATTGCAACACTTCTGACATCTTTGAGAACTCAGTCTTAAAGTAACTGAATACAGTTCTCTTTTCCTGGTAATACAGTCATCTCCCTTGAAGGACATTACTTTAGTGAATTGGCAAGATGTACCGTGCCCAGACCCTGGCACTGTAGGCCTCAGATAGCCAAAGCAACTGGAACTATGATGTATCTAAATGAATATGCATGTGTGACAAATCAGTGGTGGTGTTCTTCCTTTAAGCTATATTCTACATGTGTTCCACTTGACTTTCCTAGGCCATTTCAAGATTGTGTGAAGACAAAGACTTGTGTAAAGCTGCGATACGAAGATCTTTGAGTGCTGACAATTTCATTGGTATCCAGCGTTCTAATGCCATCCTCTCGTAAGAGAGAGAAATGAGGGCTAATACAGTCATGAACCCCTCATCCGCAAAGACTGGAGAAATACCACCTCTCCTGCTCAGAAACCAGCAAAGTTAGTATTTTCACCGAAAGGAAAGACCTTGCATCAAGAGGCTCCTGGACAGTGACAGCTGCACTCCATAGAAAGAATGAGCAACAACGCACCTTCTGTCCTTTTTAATGTAAACAGTTAAAAAATGACTCCAAAGTAAAAGCTCCCAACCCACACAGAAATACCTGTTTATTTTATAGGCCAACAGCTGAGAAATGTGTGAGGTTTTTTTAAATTACTACTTTAAATTTTTAAACTTTTAAAGACACTATTTAACTTCGATGCTTTTTCCTGTTGCCCCCATCCATATTGCTGTGTATGCCTTCTGATCGATGCAGTATTACTGTTAAAGCATGGGGCTTTGCAAAATTACACAGTGCTGGAAATGGAACCCAGAGCCTAGCCATGTGCTAGGCAAGCTCTCTGCCACTGAGCTACAGAACTCAGCCCAAAACATGAGACTCTTACCACTCACGAGGCCGCTTAGCAGATGGTAGATCGTTAGGTATTAAAGGTTCTCCCTACTGTACCGTTGAAGCTGCTAGTCATTATTGGCAATCAGTTTAAGACATTCCCACTGGCTTGAACCACTGGTGGTGGAAGTAGGACAGTCATGCAAGTGCCACCAGTGATTCAAGCTGCCCAGCAGCAAGACACATGTATTACGACTGTATTACGACCCTGTTGTATGAACACATTAAACCAAAAAACTGCTGGATGACACTTGCCATTCATAATTTTGCAAGCACTACCCACTGGCATTTTGGAATGTTTGAGGTCATAAAGAGAAAGTGTCAGTTACTGACTGTCTCCATTGAATGGGTCTACAGTATATAGTCACCTATTAATGGTGCCTCTTGTTTTCTGATAATTTTCCTCTTGTTAAATGTATTAAAAGGTACAGTAAGCCCCCAGTTTAGGAACATTTGCGTTGTGCACTTTTCAAATGTTACTGTGCAAAATTCACTGTCAGCTCACTAACAAATCCACCTTACAAACAGTTCTCCCGGAACAACTCACTAGTAAGTCGAGGACACACTGTATTTCTACAATGCCAGCCCTCATGGTGTGTACTGATGAACCAGAAAGGAAGACACAAGTGTCCGGCAGCCCTAAGTGTGGTTTTGAGCTTTACAGTCTTTAGTACACCGTGCTGTGCGCGGGCCTTCCACAGTGCTACAGCTGGAGTAGAAGAGCTACAAACTTAGAAAACCTCATTTGAAAGTTACTACTTCATAAATTTGAAATACTTGGCTTTTGTTTGTTCCAGTCTGTCTCCCAAGTATCTGCTCTTGGCCAGCCCAGTGGGGCAGTGAGGAGTCAAACTGGGTCCGGAGCTTGGCTCTGAGCAGTGAGACCGTCCAAGTGAGGTGATACAACTTCCTAACACCTGTAATTCCAGGGTATGGGTACCAGAGCTTAAAATTACACTCATCTTTGGGTTACTTTATCTCCACAGAAGCGCCCTCCTGTTTTCAGAATAGTTCTTTGCAGCGCTGTGCTCCATCTGCTTTGATCACCTAATTTTTTTTTTTACTGTGTGTTTGGCAAGAATATGAAGATCAGTGTTGATTCACACGTAAGTGCAAAAGAATTGGACTTGATCGCAACAAATGATACAAATGTTTGTTTTTAAAATCTTTATGTTAAGTCTGACTATAGGTGCCCTGTTTTAACTTTAATGAATCCAGAACACTTTCCAATTTAAAGAGCAGAGAGTTAATAATTTTTAGCTGATTTATAACAATGTTACGTAAATGTGAAATATTAGTGTTCCCAATTACACAATATCTCTTAACCTTCTCAAGTGTAATCCTAGGGTTTTGTTTTGTTTTTGAGACAGGGTCTTACTATGTAGTCCAGACTGGCCTTGAACTAACTATGTAGCCCAGGCTGGCCTCAAACTCAACTGCAATCCTCCTGCCTCAACCTCGCAAGTGCTGGGATGACAGGCGTGCGCCACCACGCCAAGCTGATCCTGGGAATCTTGCCTGTTAACACAGCCCCTCTCTCAGTGTAGCAGTGCTTCACATTACATTGAGTGCTGCAGTTCATCATTTTGTAAAACGACAAATGATGAGTAATGGTATATGGCCGACTACCATCTACCACCTCAAAAAACTGCTTATGGAGTGTCAAGCTTGGAGATTTGAGTATTGAGTGGTTTTATTTCAAAAAGAATGCTACAACTTAATGTGTTTTTTCTTTCTCATGTTTATATTAAAGAAAATTAATAAACTCTATTTTAATTAAAATACGGCTAGTGTGTTTGCAATATTTCTCTGTTGACATAACATCTGTCCAGAATTTAAAACATTTTACATTGGTCCTGAGTTTTACAAGTATTTTCAAACTGACCCTACTAAACCTGTTTTGATCCATTTCTCTAATTATGGTAGAGTAATAAATTTCTTTCATTTAAGTGCTTTTCCATCTAAAGATAATTTATTGCACTTCAAATCACTGGTCACAGTACTTCATGACAGTACATTAGATGGCATCTTTGAAAACTAGGTAAAGTATATGAAGGAGAAAGGAATGACAAGAACCATGTAGAATTAGAATTTGAAGTTTCAGTTAAATAGAAAAGAAAATGAAGGTATAGGAACTGGACTTGGACTTAGAACAATTTGACTTCAGCGTGCTTTTTCTTTTGTCTTTTTGAGACAGGATCTCGCTATGCAGTTCAGGCTGGCCTTGAGCTCACTTTGTAGCCCAGGCTGGTCTCAAACTCGCAACGATCCTCCTGCCTCAGCCTGCCGAGTGCTGGGATTACAGGCGTGCGCCACCATGCCCAGCTTAACATGCTATTTTCAAAGCCTACATTTCAGTTAGAAATACACCAAATCATAGGCTTTTTCCAAAGTTGCTCAGCTGTACAGTTCCAGTAACCCTCAGTCCTGACAGTATTGTTTTGTATTCATCCATTTGTAATTTTTAGTACTTGCAGTTACATTTTTAAATGACTAATCACTTTGTTCTTGATACATTCCTGATTAGGACAAGTGACGTGATTTAATTTATAAGAAAGTTACAAAATCACTGTAAAATGACTTGAGCCCTGTCAGTCACTAAGCAGAAAAGCTGAAATTAGACTTCTAGTAAATATTTGGAGCCAGGCATGGTGGCGCACACCTATAATCCCAGCACTTGGGATGCTGAGGCAAGAGGATTGCCGCAAGTTCAAGGCTTGCCTGGACTACATAGACCCTGTTTAAAAAAAAACAGCAGGACGTACATGAACCTGGAACTTAATATCACTAAAAATTGCTGTTTCCCACTTCGCTTTAACTCTAGAAGGCAGTACAGCCATTCTGAAAATGGGAAATTGAGGCAACTCCAGGTAAGAGTCTAGACATTAGTGTGGACAGTGGGCAAGTTCCATGAGGTCACAGGACAGGGAAGCCATGTTGCTGGGATCTGGTAGCTGAAAGTTCTGTACCTGGAGGAGGTTATGAGTATCTGGCTTCAAGTTCTTTTCATTTTGAGAATTTGAGGTTAAGATTTTTTACTATGGTAAAAGGACCTCGAAGAAAATGTAAACTTTCAACATCTTCATTGGGAAGAAAAGACAAAAGATCTGAAACGTTTGAAATCAAGAAAACTGCCATTGTCCAGGTCCAATATATGGTTGCGTACTAGCAGTTTCATGTGGTTTCTCCCAGGACAACTGCCCCCACCCCCTCTGGGGACGGGATCTGACCTTGCAGCCCATGCTGGCTTCAAACTCAAGATCTTCCTGCCTTAACCCGGAATGCAGGGGTTATAGGTATGTGTACGCCAGGCTTCGTTACCCCTCGTGTACCTCCTCCATGTGTGTGCATGTTACTGAAATCCAAGAGCACTTGGTCCTGGTTCTGTAGCAACTGTTGACTTAATTTCCCACATCTCTACAGTAGTCTCCCTGGCTTGAAGCCTGTGTCAACCAGAAAACATTCTTCATCTGTGTTCCGGTTAGGCAGTGTGTTTGGAAACTAGCTACAGCACGTAGGCTAGTTTAATCACCTTTCGTTACCTGACCCTTCTCGCTAGCCACATTCAGGGTGAGCAGTCACTGTCCTGTCACCCAGAAGCTGCATTGTTGAGTATAGAACGACTTGGAAAAGCACCTGAGAGCTGGCAAATACCCCAGGTAAGTGTTCGTTTCAGGAGAGAATCTGTAGATTGCACCCAGTATCTACTAACTAATCAGGTACTAGAGCTGAGTCTTAACTGCCAGCCCCTTCCCAACCTGGAAGGTCTGGCAGTGTCAGAAAACAATCTGGCTTCTAAGGCAATTTTCACTGAACTATTTAAGTGGCTTTAGCAAGTAAAAACTTTGACATACTGTGAGAGAAATTTTAGGAACACCAGTTTGTGGTTTTGAATCTCCAGGGCATAAGGACAGCTGGGAACATGAAATCACAGATATTAAGGGGACTGAGTCGTGAGTCCAGTAGTGGTGGGGTGGGGGGGCAGGTGCTAATACTGTGGAACAGGTGAGATGACTTTATGCTGCTGTAAGGGCGAAGCAGTCAGTTTGCATGTGATTTCAGAAATTTGGTGATAGTCGCAGACCCTAGGTCCCCAGTGAGAATCTGTAATATCTGCTTCAGAAGACCTCAAAGGATATCCAAATTAATTCTCTAGCTTTTTAAAGACTTTTTGCCTTCTCAGTCCTACAACCCTTTACCTGTAGCCCCAAGATGGTGGCTTCTCAGGGTGACTGATTGCCTGCCCAAGGAGAACTTGGGGGACTTCTAGCTCCCCATCCACCCCCTCTCTGCTGGACCCTTGTGGCCAACATGGTGATAATTAACCAAGGTCGCTGTGACCACTTCCAAAGCAGGAATACCAGCTTTCAAGAAACACAGATTTTATTTATGGCTGGGAATTGAAGCAGGGTCCTTGCACTGAGCCACAGCCCTCTAGCCCTTTTTCTCTTTTGAGGTAGGGTCTGACTGAACTGTCCAGGTATGGCGTGAGCTTATGACCTCCCTGCCTTGAGTGCTGGGATTACAGGTCTGTGCCTGGCAGCAATACAGGTTTTACATGGAGTAGAGGCTCACCAGCACCTATGGTCCCTCTCGCTCACCTGTTTGAGGTCTGTGTTCCTAAAGCAACTGTCTCCAGCTTACAGTGTTAGCAATCTGCTGACCTCACAGTCCTCGGTATTCCGACTTCCATCTAGGCTGAGAACCAGGCAGCACGCCAACCTCCCAACATCTAGTAATTCACCGGGCATTACTGCCTGTTTCTAAAAATCAAACTGTATTCATTCCATTTCTCTTCTGCTTGAAAACTGCTTTCATCTCCCTAACTTGAGGGTGGGATAAATTAAACTTTTAGTTCAAGTGTTCCAGCTTTTCTCAAGATGTTCCGGTTTTCCCAGACCACTTACCTCTCATCAACTGAAAATGGCTGTGAAAAAAAACAAAGCTTTTCTAATGCAATAGACAAGAACAGGCAAGAACGTTAGTAGAAAATCTGATGGTATCTGGAGTTAGCAGTAACACACTAACCTTGATTTCATACAACAAATACACCGTGAGTGATGTTAAAAGGAGGAGCACATAAGAACTCCAATCTTTGCAATTTAAAATTTGGGAGTAATTTTGGATTTACAAAAAATTATTCTAAATTTCAAAGTTTAAGTTTCTCGGGTCCCAGAGTTACCGAGGCTCAACTCCTGAGGCTGAAGCTGAAGCGGTTCTTGTGCAGCCTTTGAACCTTGCGTCTCTATCTCCTTTCGGCACCATGCCTGAACAGTGCTGACTCCTTGCTTCACTTACCTTAACTTCACTTGATGCTTTTCTGTGTTCACGACAGAGCCATAATTCGTGTCTTGTTGCCAGGTGGCTTGAGTCACGTGGTGCATGCGTGACCTCTTGGGTGGCACAGGGCAGTCCCATGTGTGGTACAAGCTGCCCGATGGAATGGTCATGTGTGTATCACCTGTGGCTCAAGCCAGTGGGAATGTGTTACATCCTCTGAACCCTGAGCTGTGTTGTCACTGCTATTACTACCCCCTTTCACAGATGAGAACAGTGAACTACTGACAGTGTTTGGGATCATAGCCAGTACACAGTGGAGCTGGGAGCTTTGAGTCTGCTTTCCAGTCCACACATGACCGTTCTGCCTCTCAGCTCTGTCTCCTCATGACAAGCTAAGAGCTGTGTAACTAAATCACTCTGAGCGGCACTGTGGCCAATAATATCACCCCAGGTCCATCTTTCTCCAGCTTTCTAAGGTGCCCTGCTCCTTGCTGGTGACTGCCCTCTGCCTCCTTTTTCAGTGGGTGAAAGTGAGCCGGGAGCAAGCAAAGGGGGGACTGCTGACTACAGTCGTGTACATGGCAGTGCCGCCGTGCTCACCATCCTGCGCAGCCACTGCCTCACCTCTTGTACCAGAACACTCACCTTGACACTGAGTTACATGCTCTTCTATTGTCATTCACCTCTGAGGGGATCTGTGCCGTCGCCTGTCTACACTTTAAATTCCTGATCACCCGTGTTTTCCCACAACGCCTCAGCACGGCTGGAGAACCCCGACAACACAAGTGTCAGAGCGAGAGGGATCTGGCACACTGATGGCTAAGGTGCACTTGGCAGAGCCGTGATCAGTAGAGAGTGGTCTGGTGATTGTATTCAGCGTTATGGAGCATCTCTGCAGATGAACAGGAGGTGTCCACTCTAAATCAACTTCCGGGCTCCCTGAACGAACTTAGAGCCCAATACCTAGCTGTGGATCCAACCCCCACCCTCCCCAGACACACAGCACACACGGCCTCTATCCACACAGACCCAGCGCGCCGACAGGTTGACAAAACAGAACACAACTAGGCGGTGTCTCTGTTCTTCCTGGAGCATCCTCCGTTTCTTCAATCAAGTAATGAAACAATCACAGGATCAGTAGGAGAAACCTAGGAATATATTCAATTGAAACATGTTTTAATTAGTTCTGCTTCTGGTGATTGGGATTTGCCTGATTTTACTTATTAATAAAACTTTGCTGCTTATATTTTTAAGTACATCTGAGAAATCTGATTATGAAGTTAGAATCCACATCTCCTCCGTAATCTTAGAAAGCAGTGTCTCTCCATAAAAACAAGGAGAAAAAACTTCTACAGCACCTTTTAATTTTCTTTACCATTGCTTTAATGCATTTTTAAAAGTTATCTACATTAATTGGGAACAAAGAAACAAAAATAGACATTTCTTTGTTTTTCATAAATAACTAATCTCCATATTTGATAAAAATCTCAAACCATTATTTTACCTTCCCACAAATATAATACATACAAAATTTCTCTGAAATAATAAGGTCGACAAGTATCTTGAGACTAACATAACCACAGATAATTGCTGTGCTATTGACTTCCAGGAACAAAAGAAAATAATAAAAGCCTATCGAGATGCTCTGGGTTTCATTAGAGTTATGGATTCAGAATTATAATCATTTGCCAGTAATAATTTATAGATTCGAGTTGATTGTCTACAAATAAAATACTGCTGGCTCTGATGCGTGAGTTTTGGCTGTGACTTGACCGCACTGGGTGGGACGGGCACCATACAGACGTGGAAATCATAAAAACTATCGAATGCCCTGGACTCCAGCTACTGACTCAGTATATGACTCATTTGGCTCAGTAAGAGATTTACCTGCACCAAACCCGTATCAAATTCACTAAATCTCTCATATATATAATATATATTATGTATATATACACCAGCAAAACATACATACTATACATACAGTTCGTAGCAACACGAATATTGTTATAAATGATGTACCACAGACACACATTATCCTGGCTGAAAGAAAATCCTGTCACTGTCATCAAGCTGCGAGAAGCTTCTGTGTTTTGAGTCAGGTCAGTTATTTACATCCTGCCTACTTTCACCCTTCTTTAATGTCTTAGCTTTCTTACAGAACCATCCTTCCCAACGCAGGCATCGCTCTTCCCCAGGATCACTTGATTGGACTTTGGAGACAAGAAAGGGCCCACAGAGGGAGCAAGCCATTCCTTGCTACCGTACCTCACACCTGCCTAGATTTGTGATGTGCTCGGTCCTGTTTGCCACATTCGGTGTTAGAAAGCAGTTATTCAAAGCTTTGTCCCTCCTTTCCCCCTGGGTCTTTCTGTAGCACACAAAAGTGAAAGAAGCTTCTTAGCAGGGGGAGCAGTTCATTAAAATATACAACTGCGCTTCCTAGCTCTGGGGTTCCCATTCTCTACTGGAGAGTGCAGGTCACGGACGCCGCTCTGAAGGTGCCGTGTGTGATCTGGGAGGTTTTCTCCTGGCAGCCTGTGTCAAGATTAGTGCAGCCCTGGCCCAGGAGGGAACAGCCTAATGAATACCAACTTTGAAACAGTGCTGTCGGCACATTATTTAAGCTTGTACATGCACACAATTACGCACAACACACACACATAGGCCCCGGCCACCGGTGGTGGTCACGTGGAAATCTGACAGAATAACCAATAAGGCACCAAGACAAATAATTGCCAGCCAATTTAGACAACTTCAAAAGGTGAGGAGGGAAATCATAAAGTTTAAGAACGCTCTACATTGTGGCCACCTGATTCACGGAGGCCCCATTATTCCTTGAGACAATCTTGCGAATCTTCACCCCTTGACCTAGGGAGACAGACAATGCTTCCAACTGAATGGTCACCGGGCAGCCTGGAGACTCCATTTGAGACAAAAGTGGGCCCTGAGTCCTCCCCAGCTTGGCCAAGCTGCCTAGGAAGAAGTTGCTGGCCTCCCCCACCGCCTGTCATTTTACAGCTGTTTTCATGAGTCTGATTTGTTTTCATAACAAAAAAGCAGAGTGGAGGAAAGTGAGCATGTGGGGGGAACAGGGAGTGGCCCTAAGTATGCAGCTTCTCTCCCTGGTTGAGTCAAGGTGGCTGACGTTAGTAAGACCTGAGAGAAGCGAGTGGCTGGATCTTCGTCTTTTAGCAGATGAGAAAAGAAAGAGGGAAAGCAGAGGCTAAGGGAGACGGAGGTCAAGGCAATCAGGAAAGGTCCTCATTGCGGACAGGAGAGAAGCTGTGGCCTGGGGGGTCTACTGTGAGGAGAGGCTTCCGGATAAGCAGAAGGATAAGACATGCACAGAGCTCCACAGCTATGGGGGCTAAAGCTTTTGTGGATCCACCAAAATTTTAATTTTGATCAGAGGAGGAGCTGTGTTTTTAAGAAATATCAACAGCTTTTCAAAGGCCTTCAAGCTGAGTACAATATGAGGCTTCTCCCCACCAGCTAAGTATTTAAGCTCCCATTTATCTACCCAACACTCATGCAGTAGAATTAGCCTAGGCTGAAATTTTATTTCTCCCACTTTGGTGCAAACGAAGCTCAAGTGTCAAGACTCTGGTTGTTTTCCCAGCAATGGCTTTGGCCATTTTAGCTCCTTCAATTCAGTCCCCACCTAGTCCCAGGTCTCTGGTGTTTTGTCCCTGATGCACTGCCGCCCCTCCCCCACCATGGCCTCAGTTGTCAGCAATGAACATTTAAACAGATTAGGAAAGCAAACAGAACTTTCTAATGGCAAAGAAACCTGTGTGCACATGCGCGCAAGTGTGTGTGCCCGTGTGTGTATTCATCAATGTAGAAGCTTTCATATATGCAGGAAGGAATGTTAAACAGGTGAAAGCAAAGTAAATTTTCTACCGGCAAGAAGTGAGTGTGTGCGAGCTCTTCAACACTGGGCTTACGCAGAACAGGAGGAAAAGGAGCAGGAAGGGGAGGAAAGAGTTTTCCCCTGACGGCAACCTTCACGGATCCCTATCTGAGGACTTCTGCAAGGAAGTTATAGGTTTCATTTGTTTTCAGAGATTCTGAGAGCGAGTCTGGCTGCTCCAGGGACATCTGGCTCCAAACCAGCCCGGTCCAGGGTCACACACTTGTTTTCCCTCCGTGCAGCCAATGTGTGCTCACAGGTAGCCAGGCGCCCTCCCCCAATCTAAGCACTCAGTTCCAGGTGGGTGTGGCTTCTAATCACAGCTCGCCAGGAGGAATAAGAAAAGCAAAAAGGCTGTTTAACATGATAAAGGAGGTGTGTGGGAGGGAGCCGATAAGAGAAGCACTGGAAATATACTTTAATTACTGGAAGCATATCCGTTTTAGTCCCTTAACTTTTTAAAAGGGAGCCCCTTTTAGTGATGATCCCTATATACTTTTTTAAAGGGAGTGGGTTTACTTTCACCAAAACTGTAACACAAGTTCCTTTAAAAAAGAAATGATAAGGGATCACTGAAGCTTGTGAGGAACCACCCACTCCCTCTCTCGGCTCAAAAGCTCACCCTCTCACAGTTTAGAATGCGTGCTCAACCAATCACAATCCACGGGGCTCTCCCTATTGCCAGTGTTTACGCTGGACACCACAATGCCACCTCTACCTTATTCAAGACCGGACACTGGTTCTGTTAGGAACGAGAGTGACTAGAAGACATGCCGAAAGAACGCAAAGCTCCCACACAAAGTTAAGGATGCAGGCACAATCCCTAAGCGCTCCCTACCCGTCACCCTGGGGAGGCCCTGACCACATCAGGCCCGCCCCTTGGGAGGGCTGGGGATAAACACAGGAAGCAGCAGCTGGCCTCAGAGCACCTCGGACACTCTCAGCAGTGGAAGGAAAACCACACTCCACGCTTTCCCAGTCATGGCAACCCAAACTCTCACTGTTCACATTTTTAAAAAAGACGCAGATAGGAAATATGTTTTCCCAATTTAAACCACACAATTCAAAGAAATCTGAACCAAGTGGAAACGCATTACAACGCCAACGTTAGGATTGTAAAGCTCCCCCCAGGGCAAAGGTAAATTGTGTTGCCAAAATGCAACAAAGTTAAAAATTAAGAAAAATATATATAAATTAAACAGAGGGTTCCTCTAAAGAAGGCAGTAAGAAACGCAAAACAACACACGTGAGCTGCGCCTCTTGGAGAAGCGAGACAGTACTCCTTGGAGACCACCCCAAGTCACCCCGGGAGGGGGCGTCAGCACCACGAAGGTAAACGGAAGTGACCTTCGACAAGCTACCTAGCCAGCTCCCTCCCCCTCGGTTCCCAGGAAGGCTCTTATACATGCGACAGGGACACCTGCTTGTGGTAGGCGGCGGCGGGGCCCGGGGGCCCGGTCCTGCCGGTGAGCGCGGCGCTCGCCTCATAGTCCCCCGCGGGCAGGGCGCCGCCGCTCTTATGCGCCCGCCGTGGACCGCAGCAGCAGCGGCTGGTGAAGCGGCGCCAGGACTCCACCGTTTTGCCGGACCAGATCCAGACGCCGGACGTGATCCCCACCACGAGGCACATGAAGTACTTGAGCATGAGCACCCAGTACTCGGGCTTGGCGCGCGGCTGGCCGGTGTCGCGGCCCGGGCACGAGCAGGTGAGGGCAGCCTCCCAGCTCTCGCGGTAGTGCTGCTCATACAGGTAGCAGATGACCACGATGCTGGCGGGCACCGTGTAGAGCAGCGTGAAGATGCCGATGCGGATCATCAGCTTCTCCAGTTTGTCCGTCTTGGTGCCACCCTGCTTGATGACACTGCGGATGCGGAAGAGTGACACGAAGCCCGCCAGCAGGAAGAGCGTGCCCACCAGCAGGTAGAGCACCAGCGGGCCCAGGACAAAGCCACGCAGCGAGTTCAGGTTCTGGTTGCCCACGTAGCAGATGCCGGCCACGGGGTCCCCATCCACAGCACTCAGTGCCAGCGCCGTGATGGACTTGATGCTGGGGATGAGCCACGCGGCCAGGTGGAAGTACTGCGCGTAGCCCGCGATGGCCTCGTTGCCCCACTTCATGCCCGCGGCCAGGAACCACGTGAGCGACAGGATGACCCACCAGATGGAGCTGGCCATGCCGAAGAAGTAGACAAGCAGGAAGACGACGGTGCACAGCGCAGGGCCTGTGGTCTCGTAGTGGATGTGGCTGTGCTCGCGGCTACAGGCAACGCTGGCGTGGCCCACGACCAGACGCACCAGGAATCCCAGCGACACGCACAGGTAGCAGGCAGACAGGAAGATGATGGGGCGCTCGGGGTAGCGGAAGCGCTCCATGTCAATGAGGAAGGTGGCCACTGTGGTGGCGGTGGAGATAAAGCACAGTACTGACCACAGGCCGATCCAGAAGGTGGCGAATGTGCGCTCGTCCGGGCTGAAGGACGGCTGATAGCAGGGCACCGCGCAGTTGGGCACCTGGCCCGTCCTCACCTTGTTGTAGAGTGGGTGGGACTCCTTCAGGATGGGCACGAAGGGCTCGCGGCACGTGCAAACTGCCGGGGTGCCCGCACCACACTCCCCCCTGGAGGAGGGCGCCCCCGGCGGGCCCGGCAGGGTGGGCTTGGGCGCCAAGGACCTGGGAGGCGCCGTGGTGGCCTCGCTGCGGTTGTAATCCATGCACAGGACCTCGGCGTCGCGGCCCAGCACCGGGAGGCGGTCACAGCTCATGCGCTCCGGCCAAGCGAAGCCGTACTGGCGCATGAGCGGCGAGCAGCCGGCTTTGGCGCGCTCGCACACCGACCGGCAGGGCGGCAGCGGCTTGTGGTAGTCCGGCAGGCAGATGGGCGTGTACATGGAGCACAGGAAGAAGCGCAGGTCCGGAGAGCAGTGGATCTCTACCAGCGGCCAGAACTGGTGCACCTCCAGGCCCGCCTCGTCCTGCGTGTCGTGGTTGAACTGGTTGGGCATGTGCGTCAGGTTGTAGCCGATGCCGCGGCACATGGGCACCGTGATTTCCTGGCACACCGGGGCCTTGGACGCGGCCGCCGCCCGGCCCACCAGCTGTGCCAGGAGCAGCAGCAGCAGCGAGGGCGGCGCACACGGGTCGGGCCGCGCCATCGCCCCCGCCCGGCCTCTGCCTCCCGCGCCCCAAGAGGGGCCCACGCAGGCCAAGGAGTGCGGGGCCGCCCCGTCCCGGGCGCCGCGCGGGGCGCCTGGGCTGACAACCTGTTGGTTTCTTTTTCTCTTAAAGAAATCGGTCCAGAGACAAACTGCTTCGGGCAGGCGCTGCGGCTCCTCGCCGCCGGATAGGGCCAGGGAGGGACGGTCGGGCTCTGGTCCCAGGGGAAGGACTCTTGGAAAAGAGAAGAAACACCGTGACCACGACTCTCAGAGGGGCGTCACAGCTGGATCCCGGGAAGAGGGCTTCGATCACCAGGCTACCCCTCTCTTCCCCTCCACCCCTGGACCAAGTGCTCACTCCCGCGCGCTCCCTCTCCCGGCCAGGCCTCGGGGTCGGAGCGCTGGGCACCCTGGAAAGGGGCAGAGGGTCGGGGCTGGGGGCGAGGGAAGGCGCGGGCTCTCACCTCTGGGGGTCCTGCCGAGGGCCGAAGTCTGCAGCCAGCCTGGTCCCCAGTCCCCCGGACACTCCGCTCAGAAGCGCAGTCCCGGGCGCGCCGGCGCGGGGAAAGTTTAGCGACAGGCTGGGTCCCCGCGGCGGCGACACATGCTAGCAGGTAGGGAGGCTCAGAGAGCAGGGCGCTCCCCGAGCGCGGCCGGCGCAGGCCGGTCTCTCGCCGTCTCTTCCTCCGGGGCCCCCCGCATGACCCGGGCGGAGCGGGGCGAGGGCAGGCCGTGGGGAGTCGGGTCGAGGCGCAGGGCGAGCGTGCCCCGCGGCACCTGGCGGGGGAAGGCTGTGAGCGGCCGGGGAGCCAGCAGTCGCACCGGCCGGGCCGGGGCTGCACGGTGAGCGCCCGCCGCAGCCGCCTTGTCCCGTCGCCGCTCGCCTGCTCCCCGGCTCCCCTGCAGGGGGCTCCGCGCTCCAGCGGACTCCTGGGGCGGTGGCGGCGTTCGGGACGCGCCCGGCTCGGCTCGGCTCCTCCCCACGCTCCGCGCCCCTCCGCCTACCTCCCGCGGGCACCCAGGGCACACGGCGGCGGCGAAGTCCAGGCCAGGCCGACTGCCCTCTCGCTCCTGCCCGGGTCACCTGCCTCTAATCCCCGCCCGGAGCCCCGCCCCGGCCCCGCCCCCGGGCTCAGAGTCCACGCCGGGCCGCTGCGCGCTGCTCTCCCTCGGCCCCTCCCTCTTCCCCGAGGGCTCGGCCTCCCCCTCGCACCCTCCGGCCCCTCCCGGAGCGTGCCTCTGTGGAGCGCTGGCCAATCGCGGGCTGGAAAGTGAAAGGGGCGGGGAGAATGCTAATCACACCGCCTTGAGAACTGGGGCGGGAATCCCGGGCCTGAAGTCCTACGAGTTCTCTGCGCGCGCCTGCCTGCTCTCGGTGCAAGCTGCAAACCTCTGCTCGTAGAGCCCCACTGAGGCTCCTGTCTGCATCCAAGCACCCTGAGAGGTCAGCACTGTATAAAAGAACTGCAGTGGCACCTGTCTCCCTTCTGCGCTCTTTCACTGGGTAAAAAAGGGCCAATACTTAGCCCCTACCGTGTACCCAACAGTAACTAATCGTCATTAATGCAACACCTGAAACACAATTCCGAGGCAAGTACGCAGTTCAGGTAGGAAACCGAGCCTTACTAGCCTGATCCTAGAAAGTGAGCTATATAAGCTGGAAACCTCGACAGGCTTGTTCCCGAGTGTCCTGGCGCCTGGCACACAGTAGGCACACGGCAAGCCCCGGACCGGCACCAGGCAGCTGGCAGCGCCTGCACCCTGGCCCCTCCCCACAGCCCTTCCATAGCCCCAGGCCCCGACCTTTCTGTTGCATCTCGTCATCACATCTTGCTGCTGTGACAGAGTGAGTTTCTGACTTTGGAATACTCCAGGAATGTTAGTCCTTATCAGCGAGTGGTCTAATCCCAGGCAGGTCCCGAGACGCTCACAGGTAGCTCTGCTGGGCTCTGTTCGGGCCGCGCCCTCGGGCTGCCCGCTCCGAGCGCCGCGGAGGGGCTGGGGGCGCCCGGAGAAGCCGGGCCGCGGGGACGCGCGGGGCGCCCTCAAGAGGGTTGTTCCGCTGCAGGTTTTAAGTGTTCTACAAATGCCTCTTTTCTGTGTGTTCTAATTAGGTTGGAAGACAGGTGTTTAGCATGCTGACCGAGACGGTTTAAACTGTATCCCCTGTCCTATCCCCTCCTTCACTGGGAGAAGGCTTGGAGACAGGCGGAGGGTCTAGACGCTGGCGGACTCGAGGCTGAGACCCATTGCGAGTCATAGTCGGTTTTCTGGGCTCCCTGTGTACAGACTGGGAGACTGAGTTACAGAAGAGCCATCTCCCTCCTGCTCCATCAGCCGACTTTGTGGGAAATAATGAAGACTATGTGTATTAATTAACCCCGGCCTCGAGGTTAAAAGACATAAATACCAGTCACTACACAGACATCAGAAGCATTAATGATGTTTAAAGTGTACACCCCATCTTCCCTTCCCTGAAATTCTACAGGTGATCATGTTGCAGCTCGTTTGTTTTGGGGGACTGCTTGGCACCTGGTATTTGAACCGCAAACACCGCGGTTCAAAATAGCAGGAATTGGAGAGCCGAGGTGCCCGGCCGCCGCCAAGGGGAGCCCTAGGGAAGGCGGCGTCTGCGCCTGCGCCTGCGCGCGTCCGAGGGCGGGGCGGCCGCTCCGCGCGTTTCTCGCAGCCAGCGCGTTAGGGAGACAGACAAGTGTTGGCTAATAATAAAAATTATTTGAACTTGGAGAATGTTAGTCACTCACACTGGAATTTAGCCAGAATACTTGTGTTATTTCACTTAGTTCTGACTCAAACTATGTTATCAACTGTTTTGTATACCTTCTCTCTTAACAGCATATTCTTAGTTTTACTGAGAGATGTTTAAGAATGAGAGAAGACAACCCTTCCATAAAGGTTTATTTTGTATTGTATCGCTTTTTATATCAGCCTAACCTTTGCTTTTCCATGTAGTGCTTCAAATTAAGGGTGATTTGAAATATGCTGCATAACGTGTGCGCATAACGTGTGTGTGCATCATATGTGTGTGCATAACATGCCAGGGTGTTAAATAATTCATGTATTTTACCTCATTTAATCTTTGCAAAATCAGTGAAGAAATTGGTACCAAATGCCTTGCTGAAAGTTATTCATTTAGCCCACGGAAATGGTAGAAGTGAACATTTTTACATATCATGACGACTAATAATGATTAGTTAGTAATGATATGTTACAGGAAATTGCTAAGAAAGTAGATTTTACGTTTTCACCCTACAAAACAGCGAGGTAATGTAGATAATAGCTTGATTTAGCCATTCTACAATGTATGTAATTTTTACTTGTCAATTAAAAAATTACTTAAAAACACAAAAATTTCTCCTGAGTCAATAAATTGGAAAACACTATTTTTTAAAAGATGGTGCTTATTTATTTGTGGTGTGGTATTGGTGGTGCTAGGCAACAGCTCTGTTACTCAGTTTTAAGGCTTTAGAACATTACCAAGCATCTTCAGCTATTAACTTACCCGTCTCCTTTCAGCTGTTCCACAAACGTCACATTTCTGAACTGAAGATACCCTTGCTATATGAACATATTTCTGCAGAGCCAAACTCATGAAATCCAGCTTAGAGTACAGGGTGTTTATTAACTGTTGAAATAGAGAATAATGTTAACTATTCCATTTAATAAGTGTGTGACATTGCATAAGTTTGGAAGTATTGATTTTGGATTTTGTCACCAGGGAATAGTTACAGCATTTAAAATCTTATTAGCTTTATGTTTACACGTGAATTATTTTCAGTGCTGTAGGAATGAACCAGTAGCTTTTCTATTCTATTTATTTTGCGGTTCTAGGGATTGAACACAGGGCCTTCACACTGAGCTACATCCCCAGCTCTCGTGTGTGTGTGTGTGTGTGTGTGTGTGTGTGTGTGTGTTTGAGAGTGTGAGAGTGTGTTTGAGACAGGGTCTTGATAATTGCCGAGGCTGGGCTTGGACTTGAACTTGCGACCCTCCTGCTTTAGCCTCCCAGAGTGCTGGGATTACAGGTATGCACCACCATGTATACTATTTACTATCTTGAAAACTGAGGCTGAAATGGTATGCTAAATACAGACACCCTCAATAAATACTTGTGAAATGAATGAATGAGTGAATGACAGCTGAGATTAACTTTTTCAACTTCACAACTGGGATTGAGTGCTTGCACACAGCCTGGCCAGGGGCACTGCATCTCTCAGGTTAGCCCAACTCTGCTAACTGCAGCAGCATTAGGTCCAAACTCTGGCTTTGCCCTTACTAGCTGTGCATCTTGGGTCTTCCCAGTTTTCAATATTCTCTCTTGTACATTACTTTAACAATACAAAGAAAAGTATTATTTCCAGGTGTATCTTATTTCTGAGCACGCTACAAGCTAACAGCTATCTTTAGCACATAGAAATTACTAAGTTTAATCCAAAGCACAGGTGGTCTCACTTGCCTGGGATCAAAGTGCACTCACCTGATGTCAGCAGCCACTGTGTGCATGTGGGCCAGCATGGGCCAGGGACCCCATGCTGCCTGCCTCCCTCACAGGGACAAGATCTCCTGCCAAGCCTCAGCATCTTCCCATCCTCTCAGCCACGCTCAGGTGAGACACCAGTACACTAACTCAAGTGTTAACCCCATGAGCCATTTGTCCGGGTCGATGACATGATGAGAAGGTCTTGTTCGCATTATAAGTGGACAAAAGCAACTGTGATCGCCAGTCCTCTCCCTCCCACACCATCCTAGCGGTGACAGGAGATGAAAGCAGCGCTCCTTTTTGCCCCTAGGTAACGGGAGCACTAATCTTCCCCACAGTGATTGGCACCTCTAAGCTGCACATTATAACCGTGGTTGAAGCTGTAAGAACCACTGCACCTTATGCCCTCTTAGATTAGGATTTCTGGCTGAGGGATCTAGATGTTTTCTTTAGGGTTTTTTGGCTTGCCTGTTGCTATTTTAACTGTGAGGTGATTCTGATTTTCCTGTGGGCTTGAGAACCACTGAAAAGATGTTTTTGTGTGTCCTCGGAATAGCCCCACACTTGGGCCTGGCTAGGTCTTCTGCCAGTTAACAGCTGGGTGTGATGCTATGTACCTGTAAGGACAGTACTCTGGGAGGCTGATGCAGGAGGATCACAAAGTCGAGCTCAGCAAGAACACCATCAGGCAGGGCTGGGGATGAAGCTCAGTGTAAAGGCCCTGGGTTCGATTTCCAGTGCCACAAATAATAGTAATATTAAAAACTGGCCACATCGGTGTGGGAAATAGAGTCTCTCCAGAGAAGTAATAGAGATGCGCATTATAGGTTTAGTGCATCTGAGTCTGCTTAGGTGGAAGGTAAAATTATGTAAAGCAATAGAATTGCAGTAAATTGTATTAACAGTGATGATAACCATAACAGTAATAGATAAATACTGACAATTTCCTGAATGCATTTTACACAATCTGTGCTAAGTATTTTACATACGCAATCTCTTTTACTCCAAGAATCCAGGAAGGTTATATTCGCAATGCCATTCCGTAGGTGAAGAGACTGAGGTTCGGGTCAGCAGAGTAACTTGCCACGCCTTCCCACTTGAGATCCCCTGACTTCAAACCTGTGTCCATGGCAAGCCTCACTGTAGGCCTAGCAGCAAACACACACGATGTACAGGGTCCCAGGCTCACCAGACGGCAGATCCTGAGATGAGCGAGGTCCCTGTACCTCAGCATCCCCTCCTGGTGGTTAAGTAGAGTCTTCAATTCTAGTGTGGTCCCTTGCCGGGGAGGTCAAGTGCAGAAAAGCTAGGCGCTCTGGCTTCCTCTAGAGCCCAGTAG